CCTTTCTGTCTTGCTGCATGTAACAAAGATTTAGAAGTGGAGCTCATTCTGGAAAAATGATCTAACATTTAGCACATGCTTACCCAGATGGTCAAGGGAAGGAAGGGAGGGAGGGAGGAAGGAAGGAAAGAAGGAAGGAAGGAAGGGTCATTTTTCTCCTATCTGATAAACCTGTGACAGAGACAATTTCTGTGGAGTAAAGTAACTGATGGCAGAATACTTCTCTGCAGGAGTAGCTAGGATATCTTAGTGGGATTATGAAAAGAAGGGTTTGAGATCCCTGGTCAGAATCAGCAGAGCCCAAACTACTATAGTTTTGGGATGTGCATATACAGTATATACATCCCATAACTATAAAATGCCACTTGATATTGTCAAAAAGAAAGAAAATAAAACTCAACTGCTCAATTTACTTTTCCAGTAAATTCAAGGATAGGCGTGAAGTTTTGGATTTCCCAAAGTGATTTAAATCTGCATCTAACCACCCTGTAGCCTAAACAAGTCTCCCGTGCTGCTCTTACCTGTTTCTTAAGCCAACATTCGAGGTTGGATTGCAGGGAGTTTGCAACAGGGTTAGCTAGTGCTTAACTTGGACTACAACATTCTAAAGAAGGCCAAGAAAAATGCAAAACACCAGGAAATATCTTGATTTAAGCGAGGCCTCTTAAATACAGTTCTTTAGAGTAACCAGGCAACAGAATATGAAGCCTGTTTTTGACAGCTCTTGCTGATATTTAAGAGTTCTTGTATATCCAAGTTGCCCAACGTCTGACTCTTTTATGTTACAACTGATGGGAGTTCATTTGCAGGATCAGATGAATATTACACTGCTGTTGAGTTAGCAGGTATGCTTCTCTCATTATGGTGCAGTGCCTCCTACAGTATAGCACACCATAACAGTAACAATTGCAGACACTAATCATCATAAGCTCATTTCAGGTTTAACTTTGAACTTTAACAATACTACAGAGCTGTCTTAAAGAAGGTTTCTCCTGTGAGTAGGAATGGCAAAATACTAAACTGGATTGAATAAATGAGCCAAGGGAGATGTTGGAGTCCCAGTGCAAAGCATTATACCATGAACATGGAGAGGCAGAGTGAAACAGCACAGAAAACAAATCATTAAGGAAGTTATTTTAGGGGAAAAAATTATTCAGTGCTGAGAAAGAGGAAAGGATGAAAAAGAATCCAAAAAAATCCCCTCCTTTAGATGTGTAGGTGTCGATACCATAAAATGTGGTAGAGAGAAACTCAATATTCTGCTATTATATCTTTTAAGAATAAATGTAAAGGGGAACGGGCACTGACAGAGAAGCACTGCCCATTTGTTATGCATTAAAAATGTACAATTACTATTGATAATTTATTTATTTATTTATTTGTTTGTTTGTTTATTTATATTTACATTTATATACTGCCCTTCTCCCAAAGGACTCAGGGCGGTGAACAGCCAAAGGTAAAAAACATAGAATACAGAAATTTAAAAGCAATTTAAAATATATTAAACAATTTGGCCCAACAATTAAAATACCCCATTTAAAATTCAAATTAAAATTAAACAATTGGAGAAGTTAGGCCAGCCCGGCTTGTTGAAATAAAAAAGTCTTGAGGGCCCGGCGGAAAGTACGTAAATCCGGAATCGTCCGTATCTCCGGGGGGAGCTTGTTCCAGAGGACAGGTGCTCCCACAGAGAAAGCTCTCCCCCTGGGGGCCACCAGTCGACATTGTTTGACCAACGGCACCCCGAGGAGCCCCTCTCTGTGGGAGCGTACTGGCCGGTGGGAGGCTCTCAGTGGCAGAAGGCGGTCTCGTAAATATCCAGGTCCTAAGCCATGGAGCGCTCTAAAGGTGGTCATCAACACCTTGAATCGCACCTGGAGGACCACCGGAAGCCAGTGCAGCTCACGCAGGAGAGGTGTTACATGGGAGTGAATAATAGAAAAATAAGAAACCAACGAGGGGAAAAAAATGAACTCTTAGGATAGAATAAAGAAAGGCACTTCATTCACTTCCTGACCACAGCCTGAGCAGAAAAATGACTAGAAATCTTTTGATTAGTAAAAAATAATTCAAAGATACTTAAAAGCATTGATAAATGTATTTATTATTGATTTGTTAAATGTATGCTGCCCATTTTATTTAGAAATGATTCTGGGCGACTTACAGTATTAAAATCATAAAAGATGAACATTTCTAAAATAATAACAATGGAAATTAGGATCAAAAACAGAATTATACTTAGAAGAAGGGGAAGGAAGGGGCAGGATGCTCACGGTAAGGGAGGTGGGATTGCCATCCATAAATGCATGAAAGACAATCAGTGGTAAATAGACTGGAACAATCAACATTTCCTAATAAATAGTAAAGATGATAACAATTCACCATGGAATATTTATCTTCTAACATCCCAAGGCGAATCATTTTCACTATTTATTTTAGAAATATCATTTACAAATAATTTAAACAAAGCAGAATGTGCCTATCAGTTCACAAACAAAGCCCTCAAATGGCCCATTTGCTATGCATGGATAACCTGCAATTATTCACAAAATCCAAAGCAGAATTCAAGTCCCTGCTGAACACAATCCATGGATAAAGCAAGGGATACAAAAAGGCAATTTGCTCTAGACAAATGTGCAATTTTGGCAATTAAAAGAGACAAAATTGTTGAAGATGGATTACAGCTAATGAATGGGAAGGGCCTAAGCCAATTGGCACCAGAAGAAGAAAATAATGACGATAGATACAAGATTCTCATTCAATACACAAGTGAATAGAGTATTAGCTCTAAATATATACATTCAGAAGTTTGACAACAAAATGAAATGCAGGGAACATAATTAAAGCCATAAATAATTGGGCTGTCCCAATTATTTTCTAGACTGGAGATGCAATTCTTTGGACCCAAGCTGCATTAGACTTGATAGGAAAACAAGAAAATTAATGACTGTGAATTCATGCTTTCCACCAAACGAGATATAGATGGCTCTATTTTCCCAGATATAAAAGAGAGTAAGAATTACTCCAAGTAAAGCAAACAGTGGATGAAGTGAAACATAGCCAGAATGATGAGATCAAGCATAGTAAGGAATTATTTTGGATGGATGTTTGTAAAGAAAAGCTACTGAAAATTGAAAAATGGAAAGAAGATTGCAAAAAGGAAGCCACTGAAAGCTGAAGTTAAACCTCTTCATAGGCATCATAGACATCATTTTGAAGAAATATCAGATAAAAATATGACTTGGCAATGGGTGAGAATTAGAATTCTTAAGAAATTAAAGGAATAACCATGACAGAAAAGGAATAGACTACGCAATCTCACATCATTGTAGCCAAAACTGATCTTAAATAATGACAAATACCATTTGTGTAAGATGAATCTGGAATTGTAGATGACCTCATTAGAGTTGTTAATTTTAAAAATAAGTATAAGCAATGTTATGTTATAGTTGCAAAAATATAGGTTGGAATCAGTGGTGGGTTTCAAAAATATTTACTACCATGTAGGAGTTTGCATACATGCTGGAATTTTCCTAATCTCGAAGGCAAACCTCAGATAAAGAAGGTTACATGCACGTAGACACCAGGAAGTGGCATTAGAAAATAAGACCCTAAATCTGTAAATAAGAGGAGAGGAAGTGGGATGTATATTAGACTTTAACTATAGCTAAACATTATAAGTGCTTAAACAAGCAGTAGTAATGGTTAACCAAAGATCTTATAGTTGCTGGAAGACTTTTGTGAGCCAATGAGATGCTGACAAGTGCTCTGTAGCTGAAAGTAACAAACTATATAATGTCACTATGTAAGGCAATAAAGACACCACATATATCTTCACCCTGTGTGTGTGTGGTCATTTACAACACTACCGGTTCTGTGGGCGTGGCTTGGTGGGTGTAGCAGGGGAAGGATACTATAAAATCTCCATTCCCACCCCAATCTAGGGGAAAGTTCCTGCAAAATCCTCATTTCCCCCCAATCAGCTGGAATGCAGAGAATAGATGGGGGTGGGGCCAGTCAGAATACCGGTTCTTCGAACTACTCAAAATTTCCGCTACCGGTTCTCCAGAACTGGTCTGCTGAAACCCACCTCTGGTTGGAATGTATGTAAAACATTTGCCTTTATCATTAATAAAAATTGCTGGTACTGCACATTTGAACAGGACAATGAGGAGATCAAGATATTTTATGTGTATGTGTTTTTTAAAAACAAACCAACAGATATTTCAAATGTAACCTGTCAGACATTACCTTTCCTGAAAAATTGTAGTTCATAGAGGTAGCAGTAACAAAAGATAATCACAGTGATCAAATCCAAATGGAAAAAATAGCAATTTGCAAATTAAGCTTGAAAGAAAGTGTCAACTATAATAACCAACCATAATTAGAGCCCTACCAAGTATTGGAAATTTTAAATTTACTGGATTTTATACCATTCCCTTTGCAAAAAAAAAAAAAAAAAGTTGCTTGGAACTTCCAAACACCTCCATGATTTCTAAGGCTCTTGACTAGAACTACATCATCAAAAAATATCTGTCCCAAAGATTGCAATATTCATAGAATGAATAGATGATGATGATGATACAGTGAAAATACATTAAATGGTTTAATAATTTGCTGTTACTTCCAAAATTCATTATCAATCTGCTCTTAGACTTACAGAGAAGTAGTTGTAATAGGCTAGCACTTGAGAATATGTTTTAAAAAATGCTTAATTAAATTTCTACAAAAGAAAAAGGGAAAAAATGAATTAAGGAGGAAAAATAATAAGAGAGAGGAAAGTGCAAAGGAATAGAAAAAAAGAAAAGAAATAGAAAAAGATAGCTTCCAACTTTCTTCTACAGTGATAAATATAAAATACATTAATCTTTTGATCTCATTCAATTCACAATATTTCTGTTATTATAAATATTTCTAATCATCAAATCTCAAAATTAATGTAGAATTTCTTTCAGCTTCTAGCAAAAAGTCCAAAAGTAGAGTTCATATAAAAACAAAGCTATATGAAGTCTTTTCTTTAATCAAGAAGATTATTTTCACCATGTTAGCCGGTTCCATAAACTTCACCATCCATTCTTCAATTGTGGAATCTGTGTAGGACAGAGGTGTCAAACTGGCGGCGCCCACCCCAGCTCTGCAAAGGCGAAAAAGCCATGATACGTCATGTGATGCGATTGAGTTTGACACCCGTAGTGTAGGAGATGACCTTGACAATCTGTAAGTCTTCTGCATATAAAAATTTCACCACAGTTACAGTATATATAAAAACCAAATCCGTGTTTTCTATTCAATTGTTTATCCATCAAATCTAAAACAATAACTTCAGGTTTTAATTGTACCCTTGGTTTAAGAATTGAATAACTCTTACAGAGCCTCCAACGGTGATAAAAGCTGCCAAGACCGTGCTATTTTTCTTTTTGTATTCTTGTTGCTTTTAATTTTAGCAAAAAAATAGAACACTTCATACTGTGTTCCATTCAACAATTTTTGAGTACTTTTCCAAAAATCTCACCCTCACATCTGTTTGCTGCAAATGTGACAAAACAACACAGCTTCCAAAGAGCCATTCATAAAGAAGCAGACTGTTAAAAAAATTGAATAAACAACGTCTGGCTGAAAGCAAAGTCTCATTGAAAGTAGTGCTGTGCACAAATTATTAATAGCTAATAATCAGGTGGTTGCTGATATATTACAGCCCTTGTAACACAATCCTCCCAAAGTTATAAAGTAGAACTTGCTTCTATAGATTTTGTATTATAACACACAGGAATAAATTTTCTGTACTTCTATAGATGAGCACAATTCAAATTGTTTTATCAAACATTCTAATAATTCTAGAATATTTGATAAAATAATTATTACTAGAAGGGGAAGGAATTCCTTTTGGTAATCACCATCTCTACTACAACCAGCAGTTTGCTAAAACATTGTCAGTGTTGGATTTCAGGACCCATTTGAAAGTAAAAGCCATTTGAAATGAAGGCAGGTTCTTGTGCCTAAACAATGCACAAAGCAATCTTTTGTGTATAAACAATGAGCAGGCCAACATTTTTCAGATATGGATATATTTGATATGGTTGTCTCATCCCATCTCAGTGGACATAATCCAGGTGCTGACTATTAAAAATAGCCATCTGGTAGGATCCAATATGTGTGCCTTTCCATCATGACCCCCACTATATGGAACAGCATAATATACCAATAATGGTATGATCCTGACTTTAAAAACCTGGATATTCCTCACAGCATGGAGCCAAGATGTTAAATGACCCCATTTTATGTACTTTACCTATTTGTGGGAGCAGTATTATGGATCTTCAGTACAATTTATATTTAGACTATTGTTTGATGTTCGTTTGATGCTTAGCAAGTAGAAGCTGTATGGGTTTGGATGGAAGTGTAATAGAATGTATGGATGACCTTTGGAAATGAGGAGAAGAGATGCTTCCTAGGAAATAAGAGACAGGAGAGGCAGGAGGCCACAATGGCTTAACAGTCAAAGAAAAAAAATTTGGACCTAAGGATCAAGCAGTTAAAAGTGACAGTGGTAAGTCTGTACTTTCGGACTTGCAAGATTCTGTTAATATAGGCTTACGATAAAGTAGTAGTACATCTAGTTGCACTTACTGTCTGGTTTACCTGGGGATGACCGTGTGTGTGTGTGTGGGGAGGGAACTATCTGCAGTTCAGTTCTAATAAAAGCTGTGGCTGTAGCAGCCACCTGGATCTGGGAATATTCTATCTTCAACCCTCAATTGGTTGTACTTTCCTATTAAGGTGGTGTGCATTTTGGGGGTATTCTTGGACTTGCAGTCCCTACTTTATGAGAGCAAGTGGCAGCTTGGCCAGGAAGGCCTTTGTGATTTTTTTAAATCCTTCCCTAGCTTCCTGGAATCACAAGTGTGAATTAAGTAAACATCTAATTGGTTAAATAAATGTTCTCGCTTTATCTCATTGTGAAAGGCAGATCTTCTCAACAGCAAGTAACACACATAACAATTCCTCAAGGTAGGCAATTGCATCATTTGTCAATCTGCTTCATTACCTCCCCCTCACCTCTGTAATTTACCCAAATCTCTAAATTAATTATACCTTTCAAGAACTGTTGGTTAAATCCCACATGCACTTATTAAAAGAAACTTGTTTTCAACAGATGTCCATGAGATCTGAAAAATAATTGATAGTGTACCATTGTATTTTTTGGGGGTGGGGGGAATCCATCAATTATAATTATATACAGTATATGCAGAGCAAGTGCCAGTTAAACGTTGATGACACAATTCTTGCATGTTTTTCTTAGTAAACATTTTTTAAGGGTTAAAGGTTTTTTAAGAAACATTTTTACCATATGGACAAATATTGTTTTTAAAACTGATAACTTTTTTTCTTTCACTTGCTTCTTCCATTTCTTGCCAACCTTCTCTTGAATTTTGAAAATTAAAAAACACACGCACATATTTTCCTTCTACTTGCTTATTTTCTTGACCATCTTCTCTTAAATTTTAAAAATAAAAGATATTAATGCTATATTTAAAATTTGCCCTGTATTGTGGTTGAAAGAGTCTACCAACTGTTCTTTTTTTAAAAAAAAAAAAAAATTATATGCCGCCCTTCTCCAGAGACTCAGGGTGGCTTACAAGGCATTAAGCAATAGCCTTCATACTTTTGTATATTTATACAAAGTCAGCTTATTGCCCCCACAACTGGGTCCTCAATTTACCTACCTTAGAAAGGATGGAAGGCTGAGTCAACCTTGAGCCTGGGGAGATTCGAACTTACAGTAATTGCAGACAGCTGGTGTTAATCACAATGCTATTAGTCTGCTGAGCCACCAGGCCCTTCTTAATTGGATTCAATGCATAATGTTGTGCTTGCTTGTTCTTCAGTAAATGGATTACAATTTCAAACAGAGAAGCACCTCAGAGTTCTTTTATAAGAAACTTAACCAGGTCATTAAACAAATAGAACTACAATATGACATCCTGTAGATAATTAAGGATTTGAACTGAAAGATTTCACAGCAAGTGGCAGTTCGTGACTCTGGTTGATTGCCAAAAAAAGCTAAACACTTGTATAACATTATAAAGAAAATTACACATTCTCATCATTTGAGGGAGTCAACTGATCTTTACTCTTAACTGAAAGCCAGGAGAAGACATCAAAATAGATAAAATGCCTATTTGTTCTACTGAACAGATGGTTGAGTTGATAACCATTTTAATTTAATACTCATCTTTTTTTATACATAGTATTCATCACATTTCCATATGGACTTCTCCAGAAATAACATAGAATTTGGACATAGAAAATACTTAAAGTATTATTATAAGGCAATCTTTTGCTGCATGAAAAATGTTTATGTACATTTCTGTTTAGAGAGATTACCTTCCTTGCTCCACTGTATATGAATGTTAGCCTTTCAAGGTTCAGTACTCCAGACAAGAAGCACAACTATGAGTACTAACTCTTTATTGTCAAAATTACAGTAACAATCTTGCAAGTTTGAAAGTATGTGTCCCTCTTTACTTTTACATTCCTTAAAACTAGGTTGGGTTGCTTCTGAAACGCTTCTCATACTTCATCTATTTCTGTGTATTAACTTTTGTGTGATGATTGTCTAGGTTGTGGCTCTTCCTCCTGTGCCTCAAAGTCATCCCCACATACAATTAACACTGAGCCACAATGTCCCAAAGGTGTTTTTTCAGGAGGCAACTGGACTTTCTTGTTTTTTTCTTTTGAAGACATTTCGCTTCTCATCCAAGAAGCTTCTTCAGCTCTGACAGGATAGTGGGGAATGGAAGGATTTATATTCCTTGCAGACAGCTGGTAAATTTGCATCCTTTTAGAGGGTCGTTGAAGCCCTTGGAGATTTATCTCTGTCCTCAGGGTCACCTGAGTAGTACAGGTGAGTAGTACAGAGATAGCACCTGAGTAGTACAGAGGTACTCAGGAGCACCCTGAGGACAGAGATAAATCTCCAAGTGCTTCAATGACCCTCTAAAAGGATGTAAATGACCAAGTGTCTGCAAGGAATATAATCCTTCCATTCCCCACTATCCTGTCAGAGCTGGAGAAGCTTCTTGGATGAGAAGCGAAATGTCTTCAAAAGAAAAAACAAGAAAGTCCAGTTGCCTCCTGAAAAAACCCCTTTGGGACAACCATAACCTGGATGACTGAAAATCTCTACAGACTGAGCCAGAATGATTACAGTAGCTCAACTCAGTTTTATGAATCTCCATTCCAGTTACTACTCACTCTCTATTATTCCACGCAGCAAAAGATATGTTTTTTTTCAGAGTATGGTACATTTCTTCAGAGGTCAGAGTTTCATTGGCACACCTTAGTTTCAAAAGTTTGTCTTCATCAATTTTGCTATCTTTGGCATTTCTCCAGCTGCTGCTGCTTATATCATTAATCTTTTGTAACTTTTTTTTTAAAAAAAATAAATATTATTCTTGAGATCTCCATCTTTCTTGGTATGACACAGCCTTTCTGTGCCTTTTCAGCTGATTCTATTTCTCTCTAGTTCCATGGTTTGACACTTTATGACTTCCTGAAAAAATTCTCACTCCATTCATAGACTAAAATGCTTGGACTGCATTTTAAGTTATAGTAGGAAAAAATAAGTATATACATATTCAATGAATATAAATATAATATTACTGTTGAACAAGTAATAGCTGCAATGCAGCAAGGTTACATGCACAAGAAATATTATACTGAAACACAATGGAAAAATGAATTGTAAGGATGACTGATTCAGTAGAAACTGACCTGTTTCAACACGGATAAAACAATAATTACTTTTATAAGAGACTGGAAACCTTTTACAGATTACTTGCTGAACATGGGGGAAAAGGTGAAATAGTAATTTGTGGATTTGTTGATTGAAAAAGGAGTCGAATAGAGGACAGAAGGAATTACATAATCTAAATAAGAGAGTAGGAATAAATAACTTTATCTGCGATTCCTGCAGATAAAAAGACTGAAGTTGCTTCCTTAATTCTCTTTTTTAAAAAGTGCTTTCTTCACTTTGTCTTTTATCTTTTTCTAACTTTTCTTTATATATTTATGTCTTTAACTTTTACCTACCTAAAAATTTTAAAATTTATATAAATATAAATATACATACACTACATCTAACCGAATAACTATCAGAACTCTAATAGATGCTTAGCAATGGGTTTTTTTCTTTCTCAATATTACACAACTGGAATAACTTATATCATCTTTTCTTTATTTCTAAGTCAATAATTGATTACAGCAACCTCGAGCTGCAGTGCCTGCTACATGTATAACAACTGAAGTTACCAATTACCAAGGGCTTCATTTTTCTCAGAAGGATACTGTGCAGAAAAAAATATGGTTGTCATGTGAACAGGTATGGGTGATTACACTCTATCCTTAGGAAAGACTGTATGCCAATCCTCTTTTTTACTCATTTTCAATCACAACACAGAAAGCGGGACTTATTTTATGCTGCTCTTCTACAGAAATTACCAGGCATTTACAAACCAGTTTGATTAAAGGTAAAGGTTCCCCTCGCACATATGTGCTAGTCGTTCTCAACTCTAGAGAGTGGTGCTCAACTCCATTTCAAAGCCGAAGAGCCAGTGCTGTCCAAAGACATATCATGGTCATGTGACTGGCATGACTAAAAGCTAAAGGTGCATGGAATGCTGTTACCTTCCCACCAAAGGTGGCCCCTATTTTTTTACTTGCATTTTTTATGTGCTTTCGAACTGCTAGATTGGCAGAAGCTGGGACAACTAACGGGAGCTCACCCCGTTACGCGGCACTAGGGATTCGAACCGCTGAACTGCTGATTTTTCAATCAACAAGCTCACTGTCTTAGCCACTGAGCCATCGCGTCCCTATGTTTGATTAGATTTGAATTAAAGATTCAAGTACCATAAGTTACATAAATGATAGAAGTTAGTGTAGGTAGCCTTTGACTTACGGCCATTCATTTAACAACTGTTTGAAGTTATGAAAACACTGGAAAAAGTGATTTACAACTAGTCCTTACACTTACAACCATCACAGCTTCCCTGTGGTCAGATGATCAGAGTTCAGACACTTGAATATGGCTTTTATAAAGGACAAACACCATTTGATAAGACACTGTTGAACTCTGATGAAAAATTAATTAAGAAGGTATATAACTTTTTGCTAAATTTAAAAAATGGAGAGAATGAACAAATAAAAGACACAATGGTACAATGGGGAAAAAACTTTGGCTATAACATAGAATTAGAGAAATGGCAAAATTTATGGGAAAAGAACTATAGATTAACAATGGCTACTTCTTATAAAGAAAACATATAAAATGTTTTATAAATGGGATTTACCACCTGTGAGGTTAGCTAAAAATGTTTAAAAATATGTCTAGCAAATGTTGGAAATGTAATCAAAAGATGGGCACATTTTATCTAAAATGTGCCCATCTTTGTGCTAAAACAAAAAAAAAATGGGCAAAAATACATAGATGGCTAAAAAAGATAATAGGGAAACATGTAGATTTTAAACCTGAACTGTTTTTATTAGGGATGATAGCTGAAAAAATTGATAAAAGTAGTATGTATTTAGTATTACATGTTTTAACAGCAGCGAGGATTATCTTCACATAATATTGGAAAGATGAAGAAACCCCAAGATGAAGAATCACCTCAAGATGAAGAGATAATTAAGAAGATACAGTATTAGACTGTGCAGAAATGGACATACTTACATTGAAAATCAAACAGGAAGAAGATACAGAATATTATCAAACTTGGAATTTATTTTACCAGTGGTTGGAAAAAAGGGGTGGAGAGTAAGAATGGCATTTGTATTGTTAAGCAAATTAAATACCCAGACAACACGATGTTTATTAAGCACTAAGGAAGGTAATTAATAGAAAATTAATAAAATTTATTTTTTTTAAAAAGAGAATTCAGGTGCTTGACAACTGGCATGTACTGTATTTATGATCCTTGCAGGGACCTCTAGTTATGTGATGGCCATTTGTCAAGGACTTCCAACAAGCAAAATCAATGGGAAAGTCAGATTTGTTTAATAACCATGTGATTCACTTAGCCGCTGTGATTTGCTTAATGGCTGTGGCAAAAAGGTTGTAAATCAAGGCTGACTCACTTAATGACCACATCGCTTAGCAATGGAAGTTGTGGTCCCAATTGTGTCCATAAGCTGAGGACTGTTTGCACGGAGAACCATGCAGATGACCTTGGATAAATTTTGCAGCAGCAACTGGAAATAGAATAATTTGAGGACAGCAAGGAAACATGAGAAAATAATTCATACTAGCTTTGCCTTAACTCTGAAAAAAGAAATGCTGTTATGCTTTTAAGAATCTGTTATTATAACATATATCAATAATGCAGCGTTCCAGATATTCTTGTGGAAAATATTCTTACATATTTGTATCAGATATCACAAAACATATAAATGATTCAGCTGCATCATTTCTATGATCGTGTCCTAGCACACATCATCATGGTTCATAATTTATGAAAGGTCATGATTCAACTTGAGTTCGTGATGCAAAAGCAATTATTCAGACTGTTTAGAAATTCAAGATTTGATATTTTAAAAAATTGTCCCTGAATTAATAATGGGGAAGCAATAAAATGCTTGCAAGCCTTATCTTTTACGGAATAGGATTTTTTTAAAAAAAAAATAGCATGGGTGATAACCTTTTGTTCGATACTAATCCTGCTAAATATCAACTGAATAGCTACAAGTATTTCATTTCAAGAAAAAAAAAATTGCCCCTGAAATAAATCAGGAATCACGGATGAAAGACGGCTAGTAGCTTTCATATCACGCCAAATATTAGATTGCTAATATTGATTTAAAGCAATAGGTAACATAAAATAGTATCTTTCAAAATATTAAAGAAGCAAGCTCTTATCTTGTTATTCTGGTGTGCCAGCCATAACACTGGAAAAGAACTATTGACTTGTCTTCATGGCTTTGTTGTTTTCAAAGCTTTGTAGCCTGCGAGCACTGGGTTTTCTGGGGTTCCAAAAGAGTGGATCATCTGATTGTCAGGTTTAAACATTCTCAAAGGATTTTTATCACTGGCTTCAGTGATCTACTAAGGTGGTCAGGGTCCATTAAATTCAGTCCCCTCTACTTAGGACTCAGAAGAACCACTTTGGGGAGATAGCACTTAGACTTATATATCGCTTCACAATGCTTTACAGCCCTCTCTAAGTGGTTTACAAAGTTAGCATATTGCCCCCAACAATCTGGGTCCTCATTTTACTTACCTTGGAAGGATGGAAAGTCTGAGTCAACCTTCAGCCGGTGAGAATTGAACTGCTTGCAGTCAGCAGCCTGCAATATTGCATTCTAACCACTGCACCACCATGGCGCATGGAATCTCCTGCCTCTGTTCATTGGGTCTAATAGATTAACAGGAGAGTTTGCATAGCTAGTTAGCAATTGGTCCTATCACAGAAGGGATACTCTCGTCACTGGCAGAACTAAGTTATGTTAGGTTTGTTGTTTGCTGGCAATAGTCTTCTTTTAGTTATTTAGCAGAAGCAAGTCAGCCCAGTGAAATAAAATCCCAAAGTGAAAGAAGCAGGCTCAGTAAAAACAAGATTCAAACCCTTAACACTCCTTAGAAGTAAACATCTGAGCCATTATCTATCATCCATTCATTCTATGCTGAGAGATGATCCAATCTCAATTTTGCAGAAAAGATTGGATTCAAGAGCATGTACTAGACTGGTCAGCTTCGAGCTCGTGTTCTCAGTTGAATTGAACTCTGAATTGTAATCAGAAAATCAGTATAGAAATATATAAAGAGAACACAAAATGAAGGCTTGTGACTGGTCACACTAAAGAGGTTGAGAAGTAAGAAAATGAATAATGCCTACACCAATGTTAGCTTTGCCATTTCGAAAAGAGCTTGGACACAGGTTACCTCTTGAGTTCATGACTCTGCTTTGATGGCATGATTTCACGGAAGCTTCAGAAATTCAAGGAACTGTTTCAAAGCATTTGTCACCCTAAAAATGATTATATTGAAAGAAAAGAAAAAAAAAAGATCTTGGACTATATAGTGATGGGCGTTGTTGACAATCTGCTGGTCTTTGACAACAATAAAAATTTATTTAATATGTTGATGTTTGATTCTGAAGCAGGTGAGATCTGATCTAGTTTCTGTAGGGTGGGATCTTGATCAGAGCTATGCTTTGGATACTAAATTACTGATCTACATTTTCTTTGCTTGTGTTGGAAGAAATATCCTTCTGGGTTCAGTTCCAAGTGGGGAATAGGACACTGGAAACATGGAGACTGCTTGGAAAGATGTTTTAATGGTGGTCAGGAATCCCATGGCTTGAGTTCCTGAACAGAAAAGGTGATCACATGCTTCAAGATGTTGAGTGAAGAACCGAAGAGAGGAAAGAAAGAGCCCAAGATGCTGAGAGTGCCTGAGTTTATAACCTCTGTTAGGCCCCACTTTAGTGTTTCCTGTTCCTGTATAAGAAATGTATCCTGATTGGTTGTCGAACTCCCAGGTGGTCTAGGGTCTTAGCTAACTTTGTAGGTTGTCTCTCAAGCTTGCTTGAGTCTTGCCATCTGGTGAGTTTCTGTTGCTAGATGGGTCCTATTGTGTTGCAGATGGCCCATTGACAAAGGTGGGGGAGGCAGGAAGCTGCAGGGAGCTGCTTTGTCTTTGATACGTTTCTCCATTTCTCATCCAGGAAAATATAATATTCTGCCTTTTTAATATTTCCTAAAATATTTCATTCTTCTAGGAGAGAGGTGGGTACTAACTCCCTACACTTTATAATTCAATTGGTATTTAAAAAAAAAAAGGCTTCCTGATGGATATGTTGATTGGATTTTCTTAGTAGGCTATGTTATGGTTTGCTTTGCCTTGTTATCTGTACCTAGCCTTAATTTAAATTATAGTTTGTTTCAACTTACCCATCTTATCCATCTTGTAATTAAATTGGTTGAATTGGGCAAATAGCTAGGAGCCTAGGAAATAAAAGTCATCTGAAATAATTATTATAAAGCAGAAATATTCTTCTAACAGCACCCTACTACTCCTGCTTTGCTTTTTCATGTAACTTCCCCTAGGACTCAAGTAAGAACTTCCTTGCTTATATAATAAATAGGATGATTAGATGACAAGAGGCTTTTAAAAAGGCTATTAGCAGAAATAAAACTAAGTTTGTTGACTTGCTTAACAAAGTTTCTTCTATAAAAGTAAAAGAGAGGTGGACTGTCAGACCATGGTTGACTCAGGGGTGGGTTCTACTTACCTTTACTACCGGTTCACAACAGGAGCGTGCGTGCATGTGCCAATCATCAATTATGACATCCGGTTGGGTGGGCGGAGCCTCCTGCCGCTTTTACTATCAGTTCTATAGAACCGGACAGAACCGGAAGCAACCACTGGGTTGGCTACAAAATGCTGTTCTTTGGGACATATTGACTAGGATGGATATCTCATGAAAGCGACCTTGAGGATTGAAAAATGTCAGGTGGGGGAGGAAAATCAGTGACCACTAAGGAAGGTCTTCATGAGTTCTAGCTCCTACATGGCTGTTGCTTTGGTTCAAAGGGACTATGGACAATTTCTGGATAGTTTAGTTTAGTTTAGTTTAGTTTATTTGATTTGTATACCGCCCTACTCCCGAAGGACTCAGGGCAGTGAACAGCCAAACAATAAAATACATAAATACAAAAAATTTAAAAAACCAGATAAAATCAAATTAAATCATTTTGGCCTGGACAGATTAAAACACCCCAATAATTTAAAAACAGATTAAAATTTAAATATTAAAAGAGGGAGGAGATTAGGCCAAGCCCGCTTGATGGAATAAAAAGGTCTTCACAGCGCGGCGGAAGGTGCGCAGATCTGGGATCCTCCATATCTCTGGGGGGAGCTCATTCCAGACGGTAGGTGCCCCCACAGAGAAGGCTCTCCCCCTAGGGGCCGCCAGCCAACACTGTTTGGCTGACAGCACCTGGAGGAGTCCCTCTCTATGAGAGCGTACTGGCTGGTAGGAGGCTATTGGTGGTAGTATGAGGTCCCGTAGATAACCAGGTCCTAAGCCATGGAGCGCTTTAAAGGTGGTAACCAAAACCTTGAAGCGCACCTGGAAGACCACCGGGAGCCAGTGCAGCTCGCGCAGGAGAGGTGTCACATGGGAGCGCCATGACGTTCCCATTACCACCCACGCGGCCGCACTCTGCGCCAGCTGGAGCCTCCGGGTGCTCCTCAAGGGGAGCCCCATGTAGAGAGCATTACAATAGTCCAGTGAGTCTGAGAATGGCAAGAATGAATAATGTCCACATCATAATCAGAATTATCCAAGAAAACTTTCAACTTATATTTTCTCTGAGGAAAGGAAGTAGTAAAGCTTTAGGTATTCTCAAGTTACAACCATTCACTTCATGAGCATTCAAAGTTACACCAGCAGTGAAGAAAGTAACTTAGGACCAGTTCTCACATGTCCATGGTCCCATGATTAAAATTCAGGCATTCACACATGGCAACCAGCATGTTTATGATCGTTGGCACATTTCAGTGACCTGTGATCACTTCTGCTACTTTCCTCGTTGGCTACCGACAAGCAAAGTCAGTGGGGAAAACCAAAGTCGTTATCGATAATTTAACTACAGTGTTTCATTTAACAACTGCGGTATTAAAGGTTGTAAATTTAAGTGCAACTGACTTAACAACCTGCCTTGCTTAGCAACAGAAATTCTGTTCCCATATATGAGAGTGATAGTAAATCAAGGGCAACTATAGTTGGTTACCAATGATGTTTTTCTTTTAGGAGGATTGACCCTAAAGATAAGAGTATATGGTAAGACTAACAAGAATATTCAGCCATGGCAGTTAAGGACTCAATGACGCCCCCCCCACAAAAAAGTATTCCATTAAGAGAATAGTGGTTGAGTTGGACCATTTAAAAAGCATGATTTTTCCACCTCCTGGAAGTTTCCGGATATATTTGAAAAGGAGAATGTACTTCTCGATTAGCAGGGTCAAAGAAACATTTTATTCAGGATTGCTCTGTCCTACAAAGTAGCATTCTGGTGTCTGAAATAGCAGGCTAGGCCATTTAAGAGATGAAGCTTTCATCGCCAGGTACCATTAAGCTGGGAAAGGCTTGATTGGCTAAATTGTTAGGTTCCCAGCTGATACTAGATGTGCAAAATGATAATTTATTAAAACGGAGGTGGGGAGTTCATGCAACTTTTAGTATTACTTCAGAAATACTGTGCACCTTCCTTTTAAATAGCATAGAAATGAGATACAATTTATTTTATAATCACCTGGTTGTGGACTTTAAAATGCAGTCCTTGCATTTTATCCATTTAGTTCAAAAAAATCACTCCTTCCTTTGCATTTCTAGACTATATGAGTAGCATATAACTCAGAGAAGGTCTAACAATCAATGCTTGAACATGCCATGAATTTCCAATACTCAGTTCTTAAGGCTCAATAAGACAGTACAAGGGAAAGCTAGTTCTTGCATGTTTTTATTCATTTTATATACCTTATTTTTCAGAGTATAAGATGCACCTTTTTATCCCCCTAAAAGGGGGTGAAAATTTAGGTGCATCTTATACACCGAATGTAGCCCCGCCCACCCACTGGCCCCCACCCTTTGGGCTCTGCCTTGCAGCAGTTACCTCCTTGCAAGCAAACAGCAAGAAAAAAGACCTGGTTTGTGGGGGCAATAAGGACCTGGTTTGTGGGGGCAATAAACTGACTTTGTATAAAATAGAACACCGCTTAGGGGGGGCCAGAAAGCCTTACTAAGCAGGTATATACAAAAGTATGAAGGCTATTGCTTAAAAGCATTGTAAGCCACCCTGAGTCTCTGGAGAAGGGCGGCATATAAATCAAACTAATAAATAATAATAAAAAAAACAGCTCCTTTCAGCTTCAGCACAGCCTAATTAGCACAAGATGATTGGATCAGCCTCCAAACTCTCAGCTGATTTGTTCTCAGCTGTTTTTTCCAGGACTCTGCTGCTTGCTGCAAAGAGGTAAATTGCTGGAGCAGATTTCCCCCCCCCCTTTGTCTTAATCAAGCTATGCTGAAAACGAAAACAAAAGTAAAGCAGGCTGTTTGCTGTTTGCTGCAACCAGGCAAAATTGCTCAGAGGCAGAAGCAGAGGGAGATTTCTTTTTCTTCTTTTCCTCACCAAAAAAGGTAGGTGCGTCTTATATTCCAGTGTATCTTATAGTCAGAAAAATACGGTAATGTATTTCACCTTCCTTTTAATGATATGTGAGATGAAGTGAGCATTAGTTGTGTGTCACTTATATGAGCAGGGGGAAAATCGGAGGGAGGGATAGAGGGAGGGAGAGAGAGGGGGGGAGAGAAGAGAGAGAGAGAGGGAGCTGATTAGAAAGTTGAATATCTGGTTCCTTTAATTTTTCCTGACAAGCTACAAAAGATCAACAATTGATGGAACCTGCAGAAGTACTGGAACCTGGCCATGAAGAAAGCTGACAAGTTTGAAAATTGCTAAATAGACTATGCACAGATACAGCAAGATCCAGAGATCCCTTGAATAAATGGTGATATGATATCTAATGACTTCTGCCTATTGTGAATGTGGAGACCTGCAGACTGCCACACACATGTACACTTGCTCCTTGTGCCCTGCCCAATGTATTCTTGAGGACTTTATGACCGCACAACAGAATGGAATGGAAGTTGCACGCTTCTGGACAAACACGGCCTAAATTAGCCTTTTATACATTTTATGTTCTTATGTTTGTACTTAGACCTATGCATACCATTTTAATAATGATGCTTCTGACATGAATAAATAAAGAAATCTTTCCTAGCTAATCAGGTTAGATTGCAGTGAACACTAAGCAAGAACTAGCTTGTTGTCAGGAACTGGGATCAAGCTGACAAAGTCAGCAGAAAATGAACATGTCCAGTTTTGCTCCAATATAAATTGATGCAGAGGGAGAAAAATATAACTCTCCCCTCCGAAGAGCGAAATCTGGGAATAATCAGACTTGGACCTACAATGTGTTTAATACAGGGGTGTGAAACTGGATTTCTTCGAGGGCCGGATCAGCATTGTAGTTCTCATCCATGGGCTGGCCGGGGTGGGACGGGGGAGATGGGATTGACGCCTCCTGCAGCACCCTGCCATCGAAAACAGGGCACGGGGGGGCTGTGTGAGGTCCCCCCGTGCCCCATTTTCAGCATGGGCAGCCTCCTGCAGCACTTTACTGGCAAAAAGGGGCACGGGGGGCCATGTGAGGCCCCTAAAATGCTCCATTTTTGTCCTGGACGGTCTCCTGCAGCACTTTGCTGGCCAGCCAAAACAGGGCATGAAGGGGGGGGGGCATGAGGCTCCCCATGCCTCCATGCCCTGTTTTCAGCCTGTACAGCCTCCTGCAGCACTTCGCTGGCCAAAATGGGATTGGGGGGGCTCGGAACATGGGGGGGCTCGCATGGATCTGGCCTGCAGGCCTTGAGTTGGACACCCCTGGTGTAATAGGTATATGTGGAGGTAGCCAGTTATTACTGGCAAATCTCAGAATACTGCAGGCACAGACCACACAAGGTAGGGATTAATTCTCTAAGGGGAACATTCCCATGGCAGAAACATTAAGTATCATAACGGTAGGTGGTGACTGTTCTTTTAAGAAAGGTTAATGAAGTGCAGGATGATGCAGGAATTACATCTGGGAGTCATGTTGATTGCTGGGTATGATTTTTGTTGATGAGAGGTAGACACTCCACTGGGTATGATTTTGGGATGTGGGTTTCAGCAGGTTCTGACCAGTTCTGGAGAACCGGTAGCAGAAATTTTGAATAGTTCGGAGAACTGGTAGTAAAAATTCTGACTGGCCCCGCCCCCATCTATTCTCTGCCTCCCAACTTCCAGCTGATCGGGAGGAATGGGGATTTTGCAGTATCCTTCCCCCGGAGTGGGGTGGGAATGGAGATTTTACAGTATCCTTCCCCTGCCATGCCCACCAAGCCATGCCACTCCCACCAAGCAACACCCACAGAACCGGTAGTAAAAATTTTTGAAATCCACCACTGGATGAGAGGTAGGCACTCCACTATTATAACAGTGCAATAAGATTGGCAAGCAAATATAAGATGATGCAACAAAAGTATTATTGTTGTATTAGGGGGGATTAGGGCAGGTAGATCAGGTAGAGTAAAAATGAAACAAGGTAGACAAGTGATGTATGAGTGTGTGTGCATGTGAGAGGGAAAAAAAATCACTGAATTGTATAATATATATCATATATCTGAAATGTATTATTTATCAGACATTTATTCCTCCATTAGAGATTACAGATCTATGCTTTTTTTTCAGACCGCCTTCTAATCAATGCTTTCTTACAACATGTTTCACTGTATCCCATCAATAAATCACGACCTCTTTTCTACTGCGCCACTCTTTTGATCAAAAGCAGTCCATTATGTGCCAGCAACAATCTTAAAATACATCTAATGCGGCAGGGAATCTTTTTATATAGAACTACTCACCTGCGTGAAACAAAAAATCCAGCTGATAATCACGTATATCAGTGATGGTGAACTTTTGGTCATGGCATGTTAAAAATTCAGAAAATATCTAATCTGACTTGGCTGGTGTTGTACACAACACACTCCCAGAACCAAAAAGATAACAAGTGACATTTTATTTATATATTTGTTTGTTTCTATATTGCCTTTATTATTTTTACAAATACCTCAAGGCGGTGAGCATATCCAACACATCTTCCTCCCCCTATTTTCCCCACAACAACAACGCTGGGAGGTGAGTTGGGCTGAGAGAGCATGACTGGCCCAAAGTCACCCAGCTGGCTTTCATAGCTAAGGCGGAACTTAACTCAGGATCTCCTGCTTTCTAGTCTGCTGCCTTAACCATTAGACCAAACTGAATGGTAACTAACCAAGGAGACAAGCAACGTAGAAATAAGGAGAAATTTCCTAACGGTGAGAGCAATCAACCAATGGAACAGCTTACCTTCAGAAGCTGTGGATGCTCCGTCACTGGAGGCTTTCAAAAAGAGACTGGACAACCATTTGTCTGAAATGGTATAGGGCAGGGGTGTCAAACTTGTGGAGTCACATCGTCATATGACGTATCATGACATTTTCCCCCTTTGCTAAGCCAGGGGTGGGTGTGGCTAGCACGTGATACATCTAGCCTGCAGGCGACGAGTTTCACAAAGTATAGGATATAGGGCAGGGGTGGGTTCTACTTACCTTTACTACTGGTTCGCAATGGAATTGCGCGCGCGCCGAACTTCTGCGCATGCGCAGATAGCCTATGATGACATCCAGGGCAATGGGCAGAGCCTCCCGCCGGTTTTACTACTGGTTCTTGTGAACTGGTCTGAACTGGGGGCAACCCACCACTGGTATAGGGTCCCTGGTATAGGGTCTTTGCTTGAGCAGGGGTTTGGAATAGAAAATCTCCAAGATTCCTTCCAACTCTATTCTATGTAAGCTGCCCAGAGTCATTTACTGAGAGGGGCAGCTATAGAAATTGAAAATATAATAAGTATAAAATATACATAATTGAAGATATGTTTTATGATTATGATGTATGATTTATGAAGAATAGAATAGAATAGACTAGAATAGAATAATACAATGCAATGCAATGTAATGCAATGCAATGCAATGCAATGCAATGCAATGCAATGCAATGCAATGCAATACAATACAATACAATACAATACAATCATTGATTTTTTTTAAAAAAAAATACAAGCCAATCGTGTGGGATTCCTAGGATCTACCGCATGCCACTTACCTTCAGGTAGTATTCTCTCTCTGTTGAGACATCCCCCCAGCCTACCTGAGGTACCTCTAGTTTACACTAGGTCTTTGTTCTTGAAGTGGCTTCAGAGAATGCTCTTCTGCAATCTCTGCCATCTCAAAAAATAATAATAATAATAATAATGCAAAAATGCTCCCTGTTCTTGCTCAATTTTTGGATGCTCCGGAAACCATGCAGGAGCGCAGCCCACTTGTGCACCTTCCAGAGGGTCCAGAGGCCTTATTTTAGTGCACCCCACTTGAGCAGCCTTCAATGTTTCTGAAAATTGCTGAGAAAGGGGTGCATTTTTGAGACTAATTGTAAGGAATTGGCAAATGTTTTTGTGTCACCCAAAATGTCATGACATGTCACATTTGATACTTCGTGGCCAGTGGTGGGATTCAAAATTTTTTACTATGGGCGTGGCTTGGTGGGTGTGGTATGGCTTGGTAGGCGTGAAGGATATTGTAAAATTTCCATTTCCTTCCCACTCCAGGGGAAGGTTACTGCAAAATCCCCATTTCCTCCCAATCAGCTGGGACTCGGGAGGCAGAGAATAGATGGGGGTGGGGCCAGTCAGAGGTGGTATTTACCAGTTCTCCGAACTACTCAAAATTTCTGCTACCGGTTCTCCAGAACTGGTCAGAACCTGCTGAATACCACCTCTGCTCATGGCAGTGCAGCAGAATGCAATTAATGTTGCTAGCTTCTGGGCAAGATCTGTTTAATCTGTACATATTTTAAAGTTGTATTTTTATGTCATATAGTATTCTTTATTTTAATTATGATGCTCCTGGCATGAATAAACAACTGATACTCATGTCATTGCTTTCCCATCACTGACTTATATACTGTGTTTAGTCTTTTTTTCTCCTAAATAACATAATAAAAAAATGTGTGCATTTCCAAGGGTTTTTTTTAAAATTCTGTATTTGTACACAGAGGAGGAAAGGTGGCAATATAAAAAAAAGCAGAGATAAGTATCAGGGTTAAAAAAAAGTCTAAATATAGGCCAGTATGTTGTATACAGCCAATCCTTTCATTCTTGCTTTTTCAGAGAAAACAATGTTGCAAAGTTTTTCATACCAGGATAGAATTGGATGAAGTGCCTTGAAATCTTCAGTCAAAATCAAATATATTAGAGACATTACAATGCTAAGAAACCCCTCCGACCAGGAAGATGTTTTACTGAGTACAGGAGGGGAATTGAAGGGGAGTCCATTAGGGCTATATGGAAGCTTCAAATGTGTGTTTTGCTTTGATGAAGATTTCTGTGAAGTACCTTTTCAAAGCTATTTCATAGTGAAATATAATTTTCTGCTTCCAAAGTGAAGAGATGAACTGTGTTACTTTGCTATGGCAGTTCTAGGAGCCCAGAAGAGAATTCTTCCAACATGCTGCACAAAACCAGAAAAATATTCCATCTGTTTCAGCTCCTCTTGGAGAAGAACTTAAAATGATACAAATCGCTTCCTGAATCACACTCTCCTCAATGAGAACATCAATGTTTCTGCAACACAAATGAGCTCATCAAACCAAGACACCTTCACAGGTTTAGATTAAACGCATTCTGCTTTGCATGACGTGGAAGGAACCCATCCAGAAATCTAAGAGCAGCAAGCTCAGGAATTCATCTTTGCCCACAGATGAAGATATATTGAAGAGATGTTGCCTTTCCAGATGTGCAAACCAGGGGTGGGTTCTAAATTTTTTTACTACCGGTTCTGTGGGCGTGGCTTATTTTGTGGATGTGGCTTGGAGGTCATGTGACTAGGTGGGCATGGCTAGCTGGTCAGAGTAATTTCTGGAAGGTCCTCGCACTTACGACCAGTCCTCACACTTACGACCCGACTCATTTGTTTGCTTTTAACATTGATCAGCTGTAGGACGGCCCTTTGAAGCCCCGCGGCAAGAGTTTAAACAATGATTTTTCCCTCTAGTTATCAGCTGGGACTCAGGAGGCAGCAATAGATTGGGGGTGGGACCAAATAAAAGGTAAGAATAACATGGGGGGGTTGGAGGGCGGAGGGGAGAACCGGTTCGGTGACGTCATATCGTCACCATTACTGGCTCTGCCGAACTGGACCGAACCGGGAGGAACCCACCACTGGTGCGGACTCCCAGAATTCCACCACCAGCATGGCCATTGATAAGTACAGGTAGTCCTCCACTGATGACCACAACTGGGTCCAACATTTCTGTTATTTTGACTGGGTCCAAATTTTCTCTTGTTAAGTGAGACATTTGTTAAGTGAGTTTTGCCCCAATTTTACAACTTTTCTTGCCTCAGTTGTTAAGGGAAGCACTGCAGTTGATCAATTAGTAAACGGGTTCTTAAACGAATCCAGCTTCCTCATGGGCTTTGCTTGTCAGAAAGTCACAAAAGGTGATCTCACATGACCTTGGGACACAGCAACGGTCATAAACATGGACCAGTTGCCAAGCATCTGAATTTTGATCACATGATCATTGAGATGCTGCAAAAGTTGTAAGTGTGAAACATGGTCATAGGTCATTTTTTTTCAGTGTCGTAACTTTGAATGGTCCCGCTAAATCAGGAGTGTCAAACACTATTTTATTGAGGGCCGCATCAGGTTTGTGTTTGACCTCGGGGAGCTGGGGTGGCTGTGGCCAGGTTGGGCATGGCCAGCTCAATATCACTCATGTTGGGGGCGCCTATGGTGGCCTGCGTGCTCTGCCAGCAAAAATGGGCTTCCGAGCTCTGTTTTCAGCTGCGACAGCCTCCTGAAATCCTCTGCCAGTGAAAACAAAGCTCAGGAGGGCCGCATGCAGCCCTCCCTAGCTCCGTTTTCACTGGCAGAGTCACCGCGGGACAGTCCTTCGCTGTTTCCAGGGCAAGCCCATGGGCCAGATCTAAGCACTCCATGGGCCAGATCCAGCCCTGGGCCTTGAGTTTGACACCCCTGCGCTAAATGAACTGTTGTAAGTCGAGGTCTACCTGTATTCTGGCAGTTGAAATGGCCATGGATACGGCTCTATAGTAATAATGTCACCTGTAGAGTTCATATCCTTCTTCTACTCTGACAATTGTATATCTCCCCTGATCTCTAAATCATCCTTTCTGTGAAAGAAAGCATGATTTTATTCAAGAAGCACAGCAGCTACTCTTGTTTACGCATTTACCTGCATAGATTGTTAGTTGTTCCTTCTCCATCTAAATGTGAGAATGCTTCGGAGAGCATGGGGCACACGCTCCTTTTCACAACTTTAGCTTGTTAGCACAACATTTTAGATGGAAAACATTAGATGTCATCTTCAGAGTTTAATAATACCGGATTTTACACCATTTTGAAAACCTGCAGAATCTGTCTTAAAAAATCCATAATGCATTTAAAATGTCTTGATTTATATAACAGAAACAAGGTAAATGCAGGACTACAGGAGTTGTATCAACTGTTACGTCCTGTTAAACGTACATGGAGGATATACAGAGAATACTCAGTCTGCTTCCAGTGTTGCAGAAGTTGAATCTGGAAATGTCTTTTTTTTTAAAAATAGTGATTACATTAAACATTACAATTCGCAACAATAAAAACAAGTACACCGTGATACTATTTTATATATCGCCCCAAGGATGAGAACTGGAGCTACTCGTGGAAATCCGCGCAGAAAATAAGATCAGAAATGTACTTTCCATTTCCCCACTGGACATTCAAAAGGAAAAAAATAAACATGCTTTATTATTTATTTTTATTTTTATGTAATACCCCACCATGGAAGTTTTTTGGCAGTGCTGAAATCAGGCATTGCATAGGTATTGAGCAAAAACTAAATCAGTAGTATAACTCTGCTTTGCTTTTATTCTTACACTGCAGGCTGCATACTACTCTGCCACTCTTTGCTCCCGGTTGATTCCAAGGCACAGATACGATCTGATTAAATTGTAACGTTTAATTTCACCCCCACTGAATACTGCAGACTAGCATCAACCTTGAGGTTGGTTTGGTTTCCCAGGCAAAAGCAAATCCCTCATCTCATTTCTCTTAAGATTATAACCTGTAATAATCTTCTTAAATTCTCTTGTCAAAAATAAAAATCAGTGCAATCCATTTAATTACATACAAAAAGCTTTTAGGATGTTGCAGGTGCGTTTCTGTGTTTTTCACTGTGTTTTTCCATTTGTTGTGACAATGAACAGCTGCTATCTATGTTGAATGCAGATTTCTTGTCAAATGAATTTATCTAGTAAAGGAATAGTGACAAAATGCCTATTGGACAGATTGCATCAATTGAATTCAAGTCTTTGGGACCAGTTTAATTTCATCATAAGGAAAGTGCCAGAAGACTGGAAGAGAACTTCTTATTATTAACATTTATTTAAATGTATTGGCACACAAGTTAGAAGATTTCCCTTTCTAAAATAAATAAATTACAGACCAATCTGTACCTAGAAATGTACTCAGGCAGTGGGTTTGCAAGCATTTAGAAAAGAATGAGATAGCAATAGCACTTAGGACTTATGTTCCACTTCACAGTGCTTTACAGCCCTCTCTAAGTGGTTTACAGAGTCAATATATTGCCCCCGACAATCTGGGTACTCATTTTGCTGTCTTCGGAAGAATGGAAGTCTGATGGTCAGGATCGAACTGCTGAGCTGGCAGAGTTAGCCTGCAATACAGCATTCTGACCATTGCCCCACTATGGAGATGATGATTACTAGAAGCCACATGGATTTATTCAAATCAGATTGTGCTGGAAAAATCTTGCTATTTTCTTTTGGCAAAATGATGGGCCCACATGTCCTCGCTGCACTGATTACTAGTTGGCTTCTGAATGCAATTCATGATGCTGGTTATCATCTATAAACTCTTCACAACCAAGGACTTGATTATCTAATGGACCACCTGGCTCCAGTTACTTCTTCTTGTCTGCTGAGGTCAGGTGGGGTGGGTCTGGTTTAGGTCCTGTCGATTAAACCATGCCCCCTTGCAGGACCAGAAAGTGTGCATTCTCTATTGTGGCATCTGCTTTCTGAAATGACTTTCTCCCAGAAATGTGCACACCTCCCACCCTAGTAACATTCAGAAAATCATTAAAAACTTGGTTGTTCTCCTAGGCCTTTGGTTAGAATGGTTGCAGAGTTCCGATTTTTTTTTTATTATTGGTAGCATGTTATTTTCCAATCAGTTGTGTTTAAATTTGTTTAATCTATGAATTTTGAATTTTTTTCCTCTTAATTGTAAGCTGCCTGGAAACGTTAAGGAGTTAGGTGGCCTCAAAATTTAATTAATTAAATAAAGTGGCTAGATTTGTAAATAAATAAATTTGTAAATAAATGTAATGACCAGATAGGTAGAGATTAAGGCATCAAGCTAGAGCCTGGAAGACTCTGAGTTCTAGTCCTACTTTAGGCATAAAAGTGCCTAACGTGGGTGATCTTGGGCCTGCCATTCTCTCCCAGCCCTATAAAGGAGACAATGGCAAACCATTTCTGAAAAACCTTGCCATGAAAACTGCAGGGACTTGTCCAGGCAGTCATCAGAAGTCAATACTGACTTGAAGGCACACATAGATACAAAAAAAAGATTATTAAGCCAAAAGAATGCTGTGTATGAGTGTACTTAGCCTTCAATAAGGCATTTGATTAAGTTGACCATAGCCTCCCTTTTGATAAAAACGGAACAATGAATACTGGACGGTTCCAATTCCAAAGAAATGTACAATTGGCTGACCTGCAATATCTACCATGGGATCCTTAATGAAGTTATGTCTACATAGAAAGAGAAAAGCGCTAGGATGACTTTGTTCTGGGCCCAGGCGGCTATCCAAGCTCCAGATCCCACTCTTGAAACAATGTCCTCTAAAGGGTAGAGAAAGGACTTGCCTTCTCTGTTGTGACATCTGACCTCTGGAACAGTCTCTCCTGCAAGTTTTGCATTGCTCTGACTATGCGGATCATTAAAAGAATCTTGAAGATTTCTCCAAGATCTGGGATCAGTAGTTTTCCTTAGATAAACATATACTATTGGGCCTTGTCCTTTTCTGTTTTTTATCAGGCCACCTTATTCTGGAGTCTTGACTGATCATTTTTATCATAAGCCACCCAGAGTTCATTGAGTTAGGCAGCTCGGTAAATCTGATTTTAAAAAATAAATGTATAAAATGCTGGGTAGCTGTTTCACTTTGTTATTTCTCAATAGGGGTTGTTTTCAAAGTGTTACAAAAAAAATCAAAGGAGATTTATATTGTTATATTAGATTCACAGTTGAAAGTTAAGAAAATTGGCTCGGGATGGTGGCCATTTTCAAATTATCTTCTCTCACTATCCACACTCACTTTTTTTGCCTGCTTCCCGTTACAGGTTTTTGTCATCTAATTTCAGTCTCAGACTCCTGAGTTAATCAACATATAGTCAGGTGCCAAACAAATCCTATTTTACACCTTCCCAGAAGGCAAGAAGGCTAATACGTTTACTGAGAAGGCTGCAATATAAGAGTGATGAATTGCACTTGCCATGATGGGACCAAAACGGTATACACTTGATCGATATTGATAGAAAATAAATGGTGTTTGCACAGTATGTGAAAATGCTGTAAGTATAAACCTTTCTCATTTTTATTATAAACTCTAATATATTAATTTTAAATAGTAAAGCATTTGTAAAAGAATCGCTCATGCACAAAGAAACTTATTTCCTAAGAAATGAGGAAATCAATGAACTCTGTGTAAACTACACCACCTACTGAAAGGATAAAAGAATTGCTGTTAACCATTCAACAAAACTGAATTGGATTTGTTTTAATTCTTCTATAAATCTCAATCCTACATTTAAACTCATAGATGAAGCAGCCTCCAGCTAGAGCCAATCTAGGAGACCTTTTATCAGGGAAGGGCCACAATCTACTGGTGTTTGGTATTAGGGAATGTGTGAATGACTTTGGGGCACAAAGAGTGGAGATGGTGCCTAAGAAACAATCAGACAATAGGCAGAAGCTCCCAGTGGCCTAACAGTCAAAAGAAATAAACTTAGGACCTTCACTAATGAACCAATGGCCTGAGGGAAGCTTGTGCCTTCAGACTTGCAAGATTCTGTTAATGTAGTGTCACAATAAAGTAGAATTAGTTCATCTAATCCCATTTCCTGTCTGGTTTACCTGGGAGGACTGACAGTTGCCTATCTAATAGGATCAAAGTTGTAGTAGACAAAGGCCGCAATTTGTTCCCTACCAGCAAACAAATCTAGGATAAGAGATATCATTTCTGTCGACAGCCTATGCTAAACTCTCAGCGGTTGTTCTGAATCAGACAAAGGAACATCAGTTTCCCACTGTTAGTATAAGAGAGAACTAGAGATTGATTTAATTTGAACATTAATATATGAACCAATCCTGAAGGGAAAAGGAGACATACTTCAGGAGAGTACTCCATAACAAGGAACTAAACTTCTCAAATAAGGTTTATAATTCCATTTGGTTTCTTGTTTGCAAATGAGAGGCCGTTTACCTCCAGTGTCTGTAAATGAGGTCCATGAAAGAGAACATGCTTTATTTGCAGAGCAGTTCAAATACACCAGAATCTTGCTGAGAAAATTCTCGCTCTCCAAAACTTTAAACAGCTGTTAGAGCTTTTTAGCACAACTGAGCTAAGTAATATCCATCAGATTTCATAAAAAAAATAATTAAAGTGTATGGAATAGTAATTTTAACAGAAGGTGACAGTCTGGCTAGATTTTTCTCTAATAACAATATTTCACTTAAATGGTAAATTATAAGGTACATTGATACTGATTCAACACGAATTATTATAGACATTGGCAGAGCACTTCTGTGGGACTAAACAAGAAGTCTTCATGGTCTCAGCCAAGGATAAGAATGCTTTTAACTACAACCGTACTTGGATCCACTGCTCTTTAATTCTCAAAAAGAGTTACCTCCTAACCCCTGATCGCCTCACACTTGCTCCAGAAGATTGAGATACAGATTTTGAAAGCGCAAAAGAAGAAAAAGTCAGAAATTAAATCATAATTGTTGGGTTGAAGGTTGTATCTTCTGCCTTTGTTTCACTTGCACTTTGAAAGTTCCGGTTGAATATGGAATTTAGTCTTCTAGCCTTACCCACCCACTATTCCCTGACCTCCTCGTACCTGTTTCTAAAGAGGTAGATAAGGCTCCTGGCTTACCGCATGCACAACTAAATCATGGCAGGCTTTAAATTCTGTACCATTTCATTCAGAAGTCACACACGACTGTAACGGGAGTTGGGCAGCATATAAATGTAATAAATTATTATTATTAATCTTGATAATTAAGTTCTCTCTTTTTAATACAACAATTTTGGGAAATCATTAACCTCAGATTTGTAAGATAGTGGGTGATACTAGGGACTCTCACTGCCATCCAATGTAGCATATTCCATAAATTTAAAAAAGCACATACAGTACTTGAAAAGGCATTAGAGGGGTTTGAACCTGAAAACCTCCATTTCAAGTTTGCAATGCCAATTTCAGGTGCAAAGCAACCATTCCCAGTGTCAGGCATTCCGAAAGCTTGGAACCATTGTATTTTGAGTGCAAAATATCCTGTTTTGAGACAAAACGCCTTCAAAGCGCTTGAGGCAATCTTGCTTCACATTTGGGACAAGCGTGCTTCACCCTCAGGATGGATACTTTTAACTTGAAATGGATGGAATTTGAATGTTGTTTTTTTACATTCCTAAAACATACAGGTTTAGTATCTGGCAGTTTTGGTTTTTTTTAAGGTTTTTATGGCAACCAGATACAAACAGAAGGAAAATTAATTTTCTCTGCTACCGTGTTTCCCTGAAAATAAGGCCCTGTCTTATATATTTTTTTTTTGAACCCTGAAATAACTGCTTGGCCTTATTGCCATGCGCTCAAAAGCCCGATTGGGCTTATTATCAGGGGATGTCCTATTTTGGGGGAAACAGGGTAGCTTTTCCATATTCAAATTTCTGTGTCACCTTCTTAAGCAAAGTAATATGGAAAACAAAAATAATCTACACAACAATAGCAGAAAAACAATTCATTTTTTTTAAAAAAAGAGAAATATTTGGGATCACAAATATCAATAAGTGCTACATAGCCAATTCAGCTTCCTAAAATACTTCTTTAAGAATACCACTCCATAGAAAGCAAAACACAATACTTTTGCAGTATCAAAGTCTCTTTTTTTTTTACATCCATAGATTACAGCCAGGTTGATTATGCTGTAGATGAATGTTCTGTTCCAGTAGGACCTGCGTTTTCCAAGTATTCCAAATGAATATCCAGGGTGCCGTATATCAAATGCAGTATGTTCAAGACTTTCTCTTGTATGAACTCAACTTGCTCTGCAGGACAGTAGTCATCCAAGCTCGATCTGGGAACACCAACATTTAACACTTTTCAGTTTATTTCAAAAGAGCAATGTTTCCTGCTGATCTTCAAAGGTACAGTTTCATCTTTATTTTTCCCTTCATTTTGCCAGTTTTCATGCAAATGTTCCTTATTTTCCCACACAGCTCAGCCTGCAATGATTTTTTTTTTTTTTTTAAATCCACCCTCTATTCCATTGATCTTCTCAATGGGGTAGCTCAGACAAGTTTTCAAAGAATCTCAGGGTGGCCTGGTCTAAAATGGAAATGCTAGCTCCTTTCTGTTTCCTGAAACATATAACTGGTTAGCTGGAGCTCCAGAGATTTCAGCCAGGCAGCTATTGGGGTGGAAGTGATATCTTAGCAGCTTACTAGAGATAGGGGAAAAATAATGAAATACTTCAAATAATTGCTATCATCTTCTTTCGTTGCCAAAATAGCATTTTAAACGACAGGCTCATTGCTTATTCAGACAGTTTGTCTGGCTATACTATGCTTAAATTGCTGTGCTTGGTTTCCATATCACTGGAGACGATGCAAGTGTTTCTCGGCCAGACATTTACTCAAGAATTGAAAGAAGGAAGTATTAATAATCAGACAATTTGAATAGCGTAGCTGAGCAATCAGTGGCTGGGCAAAAACTACAAGGAGGAAAGCTAGCTTTCAAATTAAATCCATTGACAGCATCTCCTACATGGTTATTTGAGCATCTCTCATTAATGCCCATTTTTAACCTGAATATTTCATTCGTCTCCATTTGCTAATTGTTTGAAATGCTACCTGGAAATATCAGTTACCCTTAAGAAACATACCTGCAAAATTCCAACAGGTCAAGAACAACTAGCACAATGCATTTGCAGTAGATGTGGGTTTTTTTCCCCTGTTCTATAAATACCTCTCCCTTTTCTCTATTAAAAAAAATGCTTTCTCTTTTATGAAACAAAATATTATGGGACTTGCAGATGCCATCTCTCATTAGAAGTGGTGCTTGATTTCTGACTACTTTTATTTTGAAATAACGGAAATGCTATTGCCTCTCCTTCCTTTGCATCTGCAACATCTATACCTTTTGAACCACTAAATTCATAATACTTTAAATCAGGATTAAACCATGGTGCACTAAATCAGAATAATGAATCAACTATAGTGGTAACTACAGCATACAACTGTAAGCGTCACTCAAAGCCAAAGCAAACCTAATTAAGGCTTAGCGTAAAATATGAACTACCGTAGGTTACTAAGCCTAGAGAAGCATTTTGGGTGAGGCATGTTCAGCCTATCAAGCTGCATCGAAGATACACTCACAATTAAACTTACCAGAAGTTAGAAAAAAGCCATGGAAGAATACTTCACTATACGATTACTGTGGTGAGATTATTATATGCACAGAGATGGAAAGATTTTGATACTACCCGCTATGGAAGAATAGTTGGTGAAACTGACAGAGATGAATTAATTAACTTTCTTAACTGGATAAAAAATACTATGTTTATTGGTGAATTAGAAAACTCCTATGGACTTTTTGTATAAAATCATGAACACGATTTATCAAAGAAAAAAAGAGTATTGTGATGCAACTTTAGAGAGAAAGAAAGAGAGAGAGAGAGAGAGAAAAAAAGAGAGGGAGAGAGAGAGAAAGAAAGAGAGAGAAAGAGAGAAAGACAGAGAGAGAGAAAGAAAGAGAGAGAGAAAGAGAAAGAGAAAGAGAGGGGGAGAGAGAGAGAGAGAAAGAAAGAAAGACTGAGAGAGAGAGAGAGAGAAAGAGATAGAGAGAGAGAGAGAAAGAGAGGGGAGAGAGAGAGAAAGAAAGAGAAAGAGAGAAAGACAGAGAGAGAGAGAAAGAGAGAGAGAGAAAGAGAGAAAGAGAGAGGGGGGAGAGAGAGAGAAAGAGAAAGAGAGAGAGAAAGAAAGAGAGAGAAAGGGAGAAAGAGAGAGAGAGAGAGAAAGAGAGAGAGAGAGAGAAAGAGAGAAAGAGAAAGAGAGGGGGAGGTTTAAATATGTTTGTATTTCTAACTGCTAAGAGAACACACTTCTTGGAACGATTTTCTTTCTTTTCTTTAAATCTGCAAGAAATTTCTTTTCTTGCACTTTCTGTTTTTTCTATGCTTTCTTTTTCTCTTTTCTTCTTTATATTAGTTTTGTATTGGTTTTTTAACCTCCTTTTTTTAAAAAAGGTTTTAATAAAAATTATATTTAAAAACATTAAACTTACCGGGCTATGGTCACAAGGGTTGGTTTCGGTAAGCTTCCCAAGAGATGTTGTATCGTCTGTACGAAACTCTCTATCTCCTCTTCAGTGCTAACATGATGAGGTATTTCTGAGTAATCACATGTAAGGCCAGCCTGATGAACCTGAGAAATGAATGACACACATTTGTTTGTTAGTGCACTGCTCAAGAACTCCCTCTCCAAGCAAATTAAAAAAAGCAAAATCAGTGTAGGCAATAAGAGAAAATCCTTAAAAGATGTTAAAACACTTTTCTGATTACATTGTCAGGTGATGACATTAGATCCATTTTTTCCTCCCTGTCTTTCTCTAGGATTTAAGACCTGATCTCCCAAGGATCTACAGCCAGGATGATTAGAAATGTTGATGTTGCATCTGCAGAATGCCAATTTGGCCACAACTAAAGGTAAATGTAAAGGTTCCCCTCGCACATATGTGCTAGTCGTTCCCGACTCTAGGGGGCGGCGCTCATCTCTGTTACAAAGCTGAAGAGCCAGCACTGTCTGAAGACGTCTCTGTGGTCATGTGGCTAGAAAATGCTATTTTGGGCAAGAATGCTTGACATATTTCAATATAAGGCCTAAAATCATGTAAATTAGATATATTTAATGTTATAATCCATGTTTATATTGTACCTCGATGGAAAAGAACTTGGTCCTTTCCCTCTTACATTCCTTCTTTCAAACTCAAGGAAAAATTCAGATCAGATCTCAGAACAAATAGTTCTGCTTCGAATGATACATTGGGATGTCCCAAGATTATTTGGTTTCAATCAAACGAAGCACACAAAGTGTCTTGTGTTCTGATAAATCAGAGCAATACAAGTAGTCCTCGATTTACAAGTAGTCCTCAATTTACAGATCATTTGCGGTTACAATGGCAGTGAAAAAAATGACTTATGACTATTTTTCACACTTATGACCATTGTAGCATCGTCATGGTCATGTGATCAAAATTCAGATGTTTGATAACTGACTCATATTTATGACGGTTGCAGTTTCCCAGAGTCATGTGATCAACTTTTGCGATCTTCTGACAAAGTCAATGGGAAAGCCAGATTCACTTAACAGAAATGCTGGGCTCAATTGTAGTCGTAAGTCGAGTTCTACCTGTAATAATAAAAAAGGTAGATTAAAAAAAAAACAGAAATAGAAAGATAAAACAAGCGAAGAGAACCAAACCAAACCAAACCAATTGAACAAATTCTTACCGTGCTTGCTTTAAAAATGGTTTGCTTGAGAAATAAGTATATTTGCCAAAATTAAGCCAACCTTGGTTTATGAACATGAGTTCTTTCAAACAAATCACTGTTTCAAAATTGCAGATTTTAAGAGCAAGACTAAATTATGGTTGACTTAATTTCCACTTCTAATCTTACAGCTAAATGAATGCAAGGGAAGAGAAAAGTTAATCTTGTTGCGATAAGCACAGGTTACAATGCAACCAATATCTGTGGGTCAATATCTACGTGACAGTATCATGGTCTGGAAATAATAATAATTAAAAAATGAATAGGCTTACCATCTCATAATCTGGAGTTCCCATTCGATCTTTCAAATTACGCACCAGTTGAACTAGAGGTTTCATTCTACATCGAATTAAAATATAAATTGTGCAATTAATATAAAGAGGAAATGTTCTAGGCATAAACTGTAAGGAATCTGGAGAAATGATGATATACAATACCCTTCATTCTACAAATTGTTGTTGTGACCTAGGCTTCCTGAGTCATTAAAACACCCGAGTAGTCCCAAAAACCTCTTTTATTGCAACAGCTGCGAATTACGTTCATTCACAACTGAGTCCCAATTAGTTGCAAAAAGTCCTTTGGGAGAAGTCCTTCGGGATAATCACCAACCTTTATCTCCCTTGACATGCTGCCAAGACCTACTTGGCAAAGCCACAGGGAGTCCAGAATCAAACAGAGATGCCGACTGGGAACAGAATTAACAACATTGCTTTCCTGCAAAGGGCCCACATGCCTTTGCTCCTCTTTTAAGCCTTATAATAATAATAATAACTTTATTGTCATTGTATGTGTATACACAGTATACCCATACAATGAAATTATGGGAGGGACCAATCATCTCCAGGCTTTACTCCCGAATCGTCCCTTTTGTTTTAACTGTTCTTGCCTTCTGGCATCTTTGCGCATGCGTGCACTGGGAACAGGCTTCTCCTGTTCCTCTGCCTCTCTGATGTCCGACTCTGAAGGCTCCAGAGTCCGTGCATAACTCCCAGATGGCTCTGGCCCCATCTATGCCTCCGATGCAGAGCCCTCATCCGAGCCTTCCCCAGACTCCAGGACTGGCTCATGTTCCTCCTCAGCCTCCTCACTGTCCAACTCCACTGCCAGCTCCGCAGGCTGCTGGCGGACCACAACAATTGTATGCCTTCCTATTTTTAAAGTTTTATTACATTAAAATGACAACTGCAGAATTCTTCCAGAAAAAACAAAATAGATCTTGGCATCAGGATGAAGCACCATTCTCTTTTAAGATATCATATGATAACAACTTAAGTTCCTGGGAAATTATAGCTAGGCCTGATTTATTCATAAATATGGACAAATTGTATAGCCTATCATCAATATTTAAATATATTTCTTATTAAAAAAAGAAATGTATTTTTTGAGGAAGTGTGGGATTTTGGTGTTGGTGGTGATATCTGTCCTATTTCTATCTAAAAACATGCTTTGTGCTTTAAACTGTCTTGGTAATCAGTGGCTTTTAAAAACTCAGGTAAATATTTTCTGCCTCAAAGATTTTTTGAACTGGCTATAACCCTTGACAGACATATCTGTGCATACTTAATTTCTCTCTTTCATTATTTATACCTTGTTATTGTGAATACTATTGTGGAAACTTACATGGTACTAAGACTGGCTGAAAGGAGGAGCAGAGATTAAATATGGAAATAACCAATATTTTGAAACTGGTATAAACAAAGTTTGATGCATGATGGTAGACTTGATATGAAAAAAAAAAGAGTCTTGTATGGAATTATAAAAATTTCTAGCAAAAATTCATCAAGTGTGAAGTTGTTTTACCACCCAAAATAACTGAGTTCCCAGAAAGGTTATGCCTTTCAGTGTCTGTATACTCCCCAGCATTATCTCTTTAAAAGTCTAGTTCATGGTAGCCTTGGAGTCAGGAACAGGGTTCAATTACAATACCCAGGATTTGCAGCCCATCTTTTCAGGTTTTCTTCAGTGTCATCATCACATAAATCAGCAAAAGCTGCTTCTAGATCTTCCAGCTGGTGTGTGCGGTTCTCTACACAGTCGACCAACTCGTCCTTCAAACATAAAAGCAGAAAGCACTAAGCAATTTTATGAAGCCAGAAGGCCAGCTACGCAGTTGAGAAAATGCAGTTATATTTTTTGCTGTTGAAGATACAGGCACTGCATATTCCTTCTGAATTGTTTCTTTCTTTCTCCAACTCTTTAATCCCTTTGTTTCGAGTCGGGGCAACTGAGTGAAACTGAGCATTTACTGGCCGGACGCTTTTCCTGATGCCTATGCAGAGTTCATAGCACATATTTTCTCTTTGTGTCCTGATAGAGAAACATCTGCTGCTGCCTAGGATTGAATTCTCAACCTTCCAAGTGTTTTCCCCTCTAGACTACCACACCGCTCCAAAATCCTTCTGAATCAACTCCCCAAAATCTCCTTTGAGGCGAATATAGTAGTAACAGTCATTCTTTAAAACAGTGATGTCCTGGGGTTATTGGCTGCTTTACGGAAATGGAGATAGGTTCTAGTCATGCTCCACAGCACATTCTGAGAATCATATGAAAGCGCTATCAAGAAGGCATCCCTTCTTTGTCCATTACCCCCATTCCAATCACTTCTCTTCCAAACATCTTATATTCTTCTTGAGATAAGCAATTTTGACAAACCACCTCTGCCATTCTCTACTGAGAATCACAAACATCCTACCTCTGATAAATTGCTTTTGGGCTTCTTAAAACTGTACAGTTCTTGTAAGAGTTTGTATTCTTCCTGTATAAATAAATAAAAGAAAAAGGTTATTCATAGCACACTGCAAGGTGTATGCCATTAATCAAAATACCATTTATAGTCCTAAACTCGGTTTATAGGAAATTGCCCCCTACTCCCTGCAAAAAAGAAAAATGCATCATCAAATGTATACTTTGTTTTTTTAAAAAAATACATTTTCTCTATTGTTTATGTCAAAACCAAACGGCATAGGATCGCAATTATTCTGGATTTTTCCATATACAGAGAGCTACAAATTTCCACATAAAATTCCATTATTACATTTTAAAATTTGATTTATCCAGCTGAATCCAGCAGATTTTTATTATTTTGAATTCGTTTAAGCTGCTTCAGTCATATGACTCTAAGCAGCATATAGCAGTATCTTTAAACAGTACACACGACAGTACAATAATGTTAACAATAGAAAAACCTATCCACCATCCTTATATCTGGTGGGAGGAGAGGTTTGCTGGAAATGCTTGCCTCTGAATATCCTCCTATCTTTGTGGGTAGCAAGAACTCTTTACAAGTATCTTAGATAAGAAGATACTTAGTTGTTCCCTAATCAGGTCCCAAGCCATGATAACCAGCACCACAGCTACCTCATATTTAGTGGGAAGACTGCTAACCTAGTTACAAAAAGTATCTTTGTTAAATAATCTACTGAAATCATAAACCACAGAAGCAAACTCCTCCCATAGAGCTGATTTAATGAGTCATGGTTAGAATGTAGTATTGTAGGTTAACTCTGCTGACTGCCAGCAGTTCGATCCTGACCGGCTCAAAGTTGACTTAGCCTTCCATCTTTCCAAGGTTGGTAAACTGAGGACCAGGACTGTTGGGGGCAATATGCTGACTCAGTAAACCGCTTAGAGAGGGCTGTAAAGCACTGTGAAGCGGTATATAAGTCTAAGTGCTACTGCTATTAATCCTTTTCTAATGCCAGTGTTGCATTGGTGTCCCAGTTCGTATAGCCTTATATGTACATCAGTGACCCAGGCAGAGGCAACTGAATTCAAGGTTTCTGTACACCTGCCAGCTATCATGTCTGAACTATTGGGTGAGGAATCATTACTACTGTGCATTAAGGGAAGAGGCAAAGTGAGAAGCAGTAGTGACTATCTCCCAGGCAATTCAGTACAAGGACCAGACAGACATTCAAATGAGCAATTGGGCTGCACTATGTCATGTGCCCTGAAAAACACTTTCCCACTCAGGTAGCAGCAATAATCTGGAATAATCTAGGCTTTTGTCTGAGCCCAAATCCATGCCTCTTTTCCTTCTGACAATCCCTCAAATATGACTGCTGAAAAGGAGATTGGCACTCTTGATCTTGATAATAGCCATAGCAATAGCACTTAAGACTTATATACCGCTCCATAAGGAGAACCCATGCTGGAGCCATGGTCCTGGTTGCTGTTGATTTAAGGTCTGATGGATGTTCAGCCTACTACACCTAGAGTCAATCAAATTTCTAATGTTCACAACAGCAAAGAAAATTTATAACAAATGCAGAGGCAATGGTGATATTTACTTTTGAGCCAAGAACAGCAGGTTTTATTCTATACTCAAAATTCTGGAACGCAGTTCAGATTCTGCACAATGGATTTTGAAGACAGAGAATTTCACATACTCCCAATAGTCAGAGGAGCTATGTTAGGGATCCAGACTGTAGGATTGTTATGTGCTAACTGCAAGTAACAAGCTGAAGTCTTCAAATGAGTGCTGAGTTTATTACTACTATATAATTGTCAGAGATCTCAAGAGGCTTGAGTCGACCTCGGGATGTATAAAAAAAAAAAACTCCTTCAAAGTAAAAAGGAATAGCTAGAAACAGCCGTAAAAAGGCCAAGGATAGTTGGTGGACAAACTCTGGCTCTTGGGAGTAATAGTATGGAATGAATATAAGCCTAGGAGACTGGTATCCTAAGAGCTTCCATACTGCAACAGTCTTCTGGCAATTTTCAGTCCTAAGGTATAAAGATAGTCATGCAATTTATTAAGAAAAACACGTGACTGAAAAAACATCCAATTTAGAACATTCCCGATTTGAATTTTAACATGTCAGTAAACTCACCATAAGAGGAAAATGCCTGAGCTGTTGGGAACATATTTGAAAGAAGGTGTATTTTAAATGCTAGATTTGTTTCCCATTCTGCTGTTTTAACTGAGTTTTTTAATTATATTGTTTGTTTCCGTTCTTTCACTGCTTCTTGTTTTGCTGTTTTGCTTTAACACTGCATTGTAAACTGCTTTGGGCAAATACTGCGAGTAGGAAAGGCAGTAACAAAGATTCTGAACTAAATGTCACACTAAGAAGGGAGGGGGGAAATACCGATTGAAATAGGTCTTCTTTAAAAAGAACCGATGGGCAAGATTGGTGTTGTAGCTGGATAGTTACCTGTGTGTATATTTCTTTGAAAGGATTCTTAACTGAAAAGAAGTCCAAGTCAATATCTAAAACAAAAGCCGTGCCCTTCTTCAGCACTTGCAGAATGTCACGGACAAGTTCTGACATTTGATACCCGTGTTTTCCTGTGGAACCAGATGCAGAAGGAACCTGGGAATTGCTCAGCTTCTCATGCCCAGAGATACTCTTTCCAAAGCCATCAGACAGTCCAACTGTGCAACTGTGGCTCGGGTCAGTGGAGTCTTTTGAGGAAGAGGCATCACCTGTGTCATCCACACTTAATTTGCACTTCTTAGCAGAACGTGGAGCTTGCTTGCCTTCCCAGTCACCAGAAGCTTTGGAGGGATTCACAAGGCACACATCCAGATGTAAAGATTTTTTGTTCTCCAGCTGATCAGCGGGGACATAGAGACCATCAGAAAGGAAGTAAGGATCTGTGCTTGTAACCCTGGGAATAATAAATGTTTATTGTTATTGTTAGCTTATTTCTATTCTTATTTTTTATATTAAAAAAGGGACAGGCAGCTCATGGCCGGATAGGCCTCCGTAACCATCAGCTCCCCCCGCAAGCAAAATTATTATGTAGTTTCTCCCCACCCCCCTCAAAACATAAAGAAAATTGATGAGCTAAGTCTCTGTAAGATTGCTACATAACATTTTCCTTTTAAAAGAAAACAACCTCCACCATCAAAACAAGAAGAGAAGTTTGGCCCTACACACAATTAATGTATTATTACTAAACGCCCATGGCTCTCAGAGGTTGTATTTTTAAAAAGCCTTCCTAAGTATGCTATACAGATAATCCTTGATTTATGACCATAATGGGAGCCTTCCCATTATGGTAGTAAGTCATGACATTCATGTGAAAACAATTTCTGAAAAATAGTATTTTTTTAAAAGAACTACTTATCCAATTTGGAGGTTCCTTTAAAATCTGGATGAAATTTCATCCACTTGTATAATCATGTACAGATACATACATACTTCTGTTTTTTTTCTTAAAAAAAATAAAATAGAGAAGAAACACAGCTTCTGAAATTCTTTCCAACTCTCTTACTAGCCATATTCATATAAAACATCTTTATTTCTTTCCCCATGAAGAAGTAACATATGAAATATGATTGTGTTTTCATTTTCATGGGATCGCGAAGAGTTGGACATGATCTGAACAATAGCAACAAATAGTTTGTAAGCATATATATTGTCTATATATGTTTGTGAAAATCTGTTCAGGGTGTTGTGTAGGTCTTGCTTCTTCGTATGTGTCTGCTCTTCCTTTCTGCTCCTTCTGGGTTTGTGCATATAGTATACATACATTAGAAACATATGGCAGATTGCATACCCTATACTCTAGAATTTTAGAATAACAGAGTTGGAAGGGACCTTGGAGGTCTTTTAGTCCAACCCCCTGCTTAGGCAGGAAACCCTACACCACTTCAGACAGGAGCCTTGGTGATGCAGCGGACTAAACTGCTGTTAAAGTAGCACTTAGCTGCCAGCTGCCTGCAATTACTGCGAGTTCAATTCTCACCAGGCTCAAGCTTGATTCAGCCTTCCATTTTACCTTCCAAGGTAGGTAAAATGAGGACCCGGTTTGTGGGAGCAATAAGCTGACTTTGTATAAAATAGAACACCGCTTGGGGGGGGGGGCAAAAAAGCCCTACTAAGCAGGTATATACAAAAGTATGAAGGCTATTGCTTAATGCATTGTAAGCTGCCCTGAGTCTCCAGAGAAGGGCGGCATATAAATCGAACAAACAAACAAACAAATAAATAAATAAATGATTATCCAATCTCTTCTTAAAAACTTCCAGTGTTGGAGCATCCACAACCTCTGCAGGCAAGTTGTTCCACTGATTAATTGTTCTAACTGTCAGGAAATTTCTCCTTAGTTCTAAGTTGCTTCTCTCCTTGATTAATTTCCACCCATTGCTTCTTGTCCTACCCTCAGGTGCTTTGGAGAATAGCTTGACTCCCTCTTCTTTGTGGCAGCCCCTGAGATATCAGAACACTGATATCATGTCACCCTTAGTCCTTCTTTTCATCAGACTAGACATACCCAATTCCAGCAACCATTCTTTATATGTTTTAGTCTCCAGTTCCCTAATCATCTTTGTTGCTTTTCTCTGCACTCTTTTTAGAGTCTCAACATGCTAGGTCAGAGGTCCCCAACCACCAGGCCACGGCCAGTTCGGAACCGGGCCACACAAGCGGTGGACGAGCAGCAGATGCTTGCCTGTAAAGCTCCATTTGGGCAAGCAGCGTGCGTACCCACCACTTGTGTAAATGGAGCTGCGCATGTGAGTGCATCTGTCACTTGCACAGACTGGAACCAGCCCCCCTTTCCCCTCTGGTTCTGCTGGTCCGCAAAGCTGGGAAAGGTTAGGGAATGCTGCTCTAGGTCACATGATCAGAAGGAAGACGGAGAGGACATTTAGAATGGAAAAATCAGAAATGTTTAGAACCATTGCTCAAAGGCTTCTTCCATAGAGATGTTTTGGAAGATTGTTCTTGAAATATTTTTGTCTACATCTCTTGGCTAAATCGACTAAATGTTTGAACTTGATCTTTCTTTCTCCATCTTCTCCTGCCACATCAAATTTGGTCTCATTCAGATAATTATTCTGCTGTCCCCTGAGCCTATTTCCATAATTTCTTTTTTTTAAATATTCCACAGGGTTGGAAAGAATAAAAACAGCAGAATAAGAATAAAAACAGGAGAAACAGACAATGATAAAATACAAAGATAGCAAAAATATAATAAACTGTGGATGGATGAAGAATGTTTTGGATTGCAATTGCTCTAATCCTAAATTTGGGTCTTATTAACAGCCATTAGGACACTGGATAACCCATACACACTTTCTGAAGTTTATTTGGGACTCTTATGTGAAGGAGATAGGTGGCAGATAAAATTAATAAATAATAAAATAACCTACACTAACTCAGATACATGTGCAAGCACATGCACGTAAATACATTCTAAAATGAATTATTACCTTATTGTAGTAGTAGAGGCATCTTTGCCCACCAAAAAATGATGAGTTCCTTCCTCTATTTGCTGAGCCCAAACTGGATGTAACCATATTACTTGTGAAAAATGACCAGCATAAACAGCAGGCATAATCCAGTTTTCAATGCTTAGTTCACTGTAAAGAACAAAGGATAAATATGGGCTGAAATGTCTGAGAAACCTGAGTACAGATGACATAATTAAAAAAAACAGTACTGGCAACGTACTAACCCATACGAAAAGAAACCTTCCTAACAAATATTAGAATGCTTTTCTTAGATACAAAATCGGAATCAGACAAAATCAGAAGTACAGTGTTCTAAGATTTTTTAAAAAACTAAGAAACAGCATATATAGTGACTTAGTGTGCAGAAACCACTTGGTTTCTCCAATAAATTGCTAGCTTAGAGGTTTTAGAGAAATTAAGGGTTTTTTCCCCTCTAATAGATAAATAAATAATAAAACGTACAGATATGTATAGCCAAGAAGATCTAACTTCTAACAACATAACCTATTGTTGTGGCCCGTATGCGGCCTGTGCAGCTAGTAGCTGATTCAGACAGCGAGGAGGCTGGTGTGGTGCTGCGCCAGCAGCCTGTGCAGCTGGCACTCGAGTCGGACAATGAGGAGGCTGGAGAAGATGTGGTGCCAGAGGCGGGGATTCGGCCAGGGCCTTCAGAACCTCCAGAAGCTCCCTTAAGTGAAGAGGACGAAGAGGAAGAGCCTCTTCTTGATGCACGGATGCACAGAGTTGCCAAAAGGCAGGAGTGGCTCCTCAGGAGGAGATCTCCTTGAGAGTAAGGCTTGGGGCTAATTGACCACTCCCTTAGCCTATTTAAGGAGGAACGCCGACTGAAGCAATTTGCAGGGAACAACTTCGTTCACATACCTTAGTGTCTTGTCTTGCTTATCTTATCAGCTTCCTGCAAATTGCTTCTGGGCATTCTGCCAACCATAATAAGCTTTCAGTTATTATTCTTTGAATTCTTGGCGCTGTTAATGCAATTGTAAAAGACTGGTTTATTCAGTAAACTAAGGTTTGAACGGACTTTATGTGTGCTGCGTTCTTTGGGGTCCGTAGCTGGGGCAGAACACCTATGTTCTAAATCCAGGAAATTAAAATTCGCTATCTCATGAGATATTGCATTGCTAACCAAAATAACAGAGTTGGAAGGGACCTTCTAGTCCAACCCTCTGCTCAGGCAGGAAACCCTATACCATTTCAGACAAATGGTTATCCAAATATCTTCTTTAAAACCTCCAGCGTTGGAACACCCACAATGTCTGGAGGCAAGTTGTCCCAGTGATTAACTGTCCTGTCAGGAAATTTCTCCTTAGTTCTAGGTTGCTTCTCTCCATCCATTGCTTCTTGTCCTTTCTTCAGGTGCTTTGGAGAATAGGTTGACTCCCTCTTCTTTGTGGCAACCTCTTAAATATTGGAATTGCTATCATGTCATTTCGTAGTAAATTTCCCACATGCAAATCTGAGCTATATGGCACAGTATACATTTAAATTTTACATTTAACATCCTTTTCATAGTGAATCCTTGCTTAGAGATAGAAATAAGAATGTCAAGTACCTGAAGTGATTTTATTGTCCTACAACATGCAGATGAAAGGTTGGTAGTCTAGAATGAAGGGTCACTGAAGGAACTCTTTATTTACCCAATAACTTCACAGCTCATCAGCTCAAGATTGACTCAGCTTTCCAAGTTGGTAAAATGAGGACCCGGATTGATGGGAGCAATGTGCTGACACTGTAAACCACTTAGAGAGGCTGTAAAAGCACTGTGAAGCGATTTATAAGTCTAAATGCTATTGCTATAGCCTTCACCTCTATCAGTACATGTTACCTGGAAGTGAAATCCAGCCCCGGCCCCTATCAGATCTACCAAAGTGGACATGAATAAAGAAAATTGTCTATTCTCCTGTCTATTCTTTAGTTGTTAGATTCCAAGGCATTCCTTTCTAACTTATTATCTTATCAATCAGCATTCTATGGTCCACCCTCATTTAATTTTGGGGCTTCCTCTTAAACGATGTACAAACTTCATCATGTTTATGGAGATTCTCAGTCATCCAGGTCATGGTGGTCCCAAAGGTGCTTTTTTCAAGAGGCAACTGGACTTTCTGGCTTTTCTTTGATGATGTTTTGCTTCTCATCCAAGAAGCTTCTTCCGAACTGAAGAAGCTTCCTGGATGAGAAGCGAAGCCTCTTCAAAGAAAAACCAGAAAGTCCAGTTGCCTCTTGAAAAAGCACCTTTGGGGCTTCATTATGTTGTTCTACATAAAGCAACAGAACTGACCTCAGAAATAAAAGGCAGGATAGCTAATTCTATATACTAAGTCTTAGATAAGTAGAATTCTTAGTACAGTAGAACCTCTGGTCACGACCATAATTCGTTCCATAACTTCGGTCACAAACCAATTTGGTCGTGACCCAAACCTAATTTTGGAAATTTGGCGCTTACAAAAAAAATGGTGCGGAAAGGGAAATTGGCTGCGGGAAAAAAAATTGTGAATTTTTTGGTGGGAACCAGGGGTGGGTTCTAAATTTTTTTACTACCGGTTCTGTGGGTGTGGCTTATTTTGTGGGTGTGGCTTGGTGGGGGGTAATGTGACTGGGTAGGTGTGGCCAACTTTTTTTTTTTTTTTTACTTTTAAAAACATTTTTTCTACAATCTTAAGAGGTTGCAGAAAAAAATTCTTTTTGAAGCCTCTGGCGATCAGACAACTCAGCTGGGATCGCCAGAGGCTTTTAAAGGCATTTTTTTTTCTACAACCTCTTCGGCCGAAGAGGTTGTAGAAAAAATGCTTTTAAAAGCCTCTGACGATCCCAGCTGAGCCGCACGATCATCAGAGGCTTTTTTTAACTTTTAAAAGCATTTTTTCAGCCGAAGTAGTTGTAGAAAAAATACTTTTAAAATTAAAAAAAAAAAAGCCTCTCATGAGGTGGGCGGGTAAGCGAGCGGTGACCGGGTGGGGGACTGGTTCGGGGGTGTGGCCAGCCAATGTTATTACCAGTTCTCCGAACTACTACAAATTTTTACTACCGGTTCTTGTGAACCGGTGCAAACCGGGAACAACCCACCACTGGTGGGAACCCGATTTAGTTGTGATCAGAGGTTCTACTGGTCAGTTCGTGACCAGAGGTTCTACTGTATGAACTTCAGACACCCCCATCGGGCCTTTTAGGTATAAGACATACACAAAATCATAAAGCTTAAAGAATGTAAACATTTTGCCCAGTAGTGGAATTCAAATTTTTTTACTACCGGTTCTTGGTGGGCATGGCAGGGGAAGGATACTGCAAAATCTCCATTCCCACCCCATTCTTGGGGCCAGCCAGAGGTGGTATTTGCCAGTTCTCCAAACTACTCAAAATTTCCATTACCGGTTCTCCAGAACCTGTGAGAACCTGCTGAATTTCACTTGATTTCGCCCCCAAATTACTTCCTTATTTGGTTATGTAACGTGAGCTGAATAGTTTTTTGTCACATGTCTATGTAATTTCAGCACAGTCCAAGAACAAGGCATAGAAAACACTTCCCCAACAGCTAACAATTGTATGCTCACTTAAGCTAAATTTCTACCCAGTCAATACAACTGCACCATCATACCTAAACAGAGCTTCTTTGTCGAACACAGTATCTGCAGGCATGTCCAGTGGAATAAGGAGATCTGGGTGGGAGTCCAAATGAACAAAGCTGATGTTGCTAACAGGAAGGTGCTTTGAGCCAATAGCTCGGTAAATGAAGGGAAGAACCTGAAATGACACCAGTGCAGATGTTTTAGGGCACAAAAAACTATGGATAAACTTTATGATTCATCAGGTTTGCAAGGAATGTCATCAGAAAGAAGGATAGGGGTGCCCTGGAAATAATTGGCTTTATCCCAACCATCTTAACAATAACTTATGCCCAGTTATATAACCTAAGATCAATAAAATTCGCTCCTAAGGAATACTACGGTCCTAAGTACCAAGTATCCTGAATTGACTAAAAGATACTCAGGCTCTTATCGAGTTCAACTGCTATTCATGGAATAAAGGTGGCCTAAAAATCATTTAGAGTCATGAGACACCACAGTGAAGAAAAACTGGGCTGCCACCTGTAAAGTTAAAACCGTGTTTCAGAACAATGTTAAAGCAGAAAAATGCAAGGACCTTCCTCTTCAGCTAGAACTAGGTTAAAAGAAAATCTCAATATTCCAGATTATTGCTAAAAGTGAACTTCTACAGGGAAAAACCAGACTTTCCTAGTGAAAACCTAATTGCTTTATAAATATTTTTTTAGAAACGAAAGTGATTTTAGATTTCCCTAACACACCTGTGTTTACACCAACAGGTCAGGTGACCCGGTTTCCAAAATGATTAGTTAACAAAGGGTGACGGTTTTGAAGCCCCGGTAGGCTAATTTCAGTGTAAGAATTCAGTGTAAGGGGGAAAAATGCTATTTTAAAATTGGTACCATTCTTGGGCTGAGGACCAGATAAGGGCAACCTTGTGGGGGGCTAAGAGAGAAGACTTGTGATCAAAGGATCTTTGCGTAGGGCAAAGTGCAAGTGGTGACCAAGTCTTTAGGTTTTCAACCTCAACTGCTTATACTCAATAACAAACCAGTCCTGCGAATTCTTCGGAGCTGCTCCCCAATTTCACAGCGCCGCGCATTAGCGAACTGCGACGAAACCATTTGCTGACCGGCATTTGACTTACATCGTGATGATCTTCCACCACCCAAACTGGCAACTTCGGGTACGTGCGGAGGGAACTGCTCTCGTGTCCAACGCCCTGCTCTTCCCCGCCGCCGCTGCTACTCATTTTGATCAGCTTATAGGTCACAGAACGTTCGGGACATCGAAGGTTCTAAAATAGAACGCCGAGATCTTCAGCGCAGGAGGGCATCGAATGCTGGGAAACGCTACGTTCCAAGACCGGACTTCTAACCCTGATCTTGCTCCAAAGAGAACGGGGGGACGTGTCTAGACGTGACACACATAGGCATGTTGGGAAAGGAAAGGAGGGAGGAGGATGAACAACGATTGTTCCGTTTTTAGGACAAGGAATCTTGGCTGCCAGGAATTTCCAAAATATTGTAGTGTCACTAATCACTAACTAATTAATCATAAGTTTCCCTAGCCCTTTTCTCCTTTGCTAGAAAAAGAAACATTTTCCCCCTATGCTTCCGTTTGGATATCATGCACGCTCCTCCTTCCAAGTGTTTTCTTCCGGTGTAAGGGTTTTTACACGCACATTTTCTCTGTCTTTGCCGGTGCCTGCGTTTTGCGTTTGTGGAATGTCAAAAAGAGTGTTTCCAGGTAAAATAAAAGTTGCACGGGACTCTTGATAGGGAGGTAATGGTTCTACGACGCTAAGCGGGATTTAGATGATTTTCTGTGTCGTCTTTGTTCTGGTGGAAGATGAGAATGTTTGTGAATGCAGTTATTTTGTCCTTTTCTTATTTAAAAGCTCTGCACAGTGTCGGAAATATATAGTGCGAGAAATAGCTTCGCTGATATTTAACACTTGGAATTTTCAATTTTCAACTTGTTTATCTTACTCCCCTCCCCGATTTAAAACCGGAATCTCACGAAGTTAAGAAGGAATCTAATAACCACGCATTTTGTTTTTCTTTTGAAAAGATGGAGGTCTTTAAAAGACCAAACCCCGTGTAAAACAGAGAGCAATCAAATGTATAATCTCTCCTTGGACGTGAAAGCTAAGAACTGTCCGTCAAATTATCCTAGAATTACGGAAAGATAATAAAAGATATGCATAAACTAAACAATTGGTAAACAAGGTATTTTCTGAATTAAAACGAATAAGTGTAATACAATGCAGAGTGCAGACTTAAGCATGCTCAGTCAGAAACAAATTCCAAAAAGATAAGCAGCATTTATTTCCTAGTTAATATTTTTAAGGGTTGCAAAATCTAAAAGAGTCCCTTATGAATTAATATTTAATTCATTTAGTTTGATAGTGGTTGAGTCTTTGCTTAAGAACCTGCAGGAAGATATTATTGCCAATATTAGACAATATTGCCATTTGAAAGATTATGCGTAGATTTGTAGACCAAAGATAAAGCACCAAAGCTCATAGGTGAGTAGCACATATGCAGCTTCAAACATGCAGTGAATGCAAGTATGAATAAATGGTGCTTATGTTCGGAATAATCATCTACCCATTTCAAAATAAACTTACATAATTAGTAATAATTGATATATCAGTAGCACTAGCACTAGCACTTAAACTTATATACTGCTTCACAGTGCTTTACAGCACTTTCTAAGGGTTTAGACTAAAGAGTCAGCATATTGTCCCCAACAATTTTACTGACTTCGGAAGGATGGAAGGCTGAGTCAACCTTGAGTTGGCCAGGTTTGAATTGCTGGCAATCGGTAGAATTAGCCTGTAATACTGCATTCTAACCACTGTGCCATCGGAACTCAATAATTTAGATGATGCTATCTAAATATTTTTAAGTTCTCAGAGACAGAGATTTTTTAGTTTAATTTTTCTCCAAAACATCGAGTGGTGACCTTCACACTAAGCAAACAAATGTATTGTGAAATCAA